GCCCTTTGCAGCTTTTTCTCATACCACAACACCATGTCATACACTGACCACCTCTCTGCCTTTTTCCAACCAGTCCCAGAGTCGGCAAATAATGCACGACGTGGAATTCTCTCGGACGACATTCGTAGAACATGTCCAAGCCACCAAAGTCGGTGTTTCAAGATGGTGACACCAATCGAATTATCGTCTCTGCACCCGAACACACGATGCCGAAGCTCTGCATTACTGACATGGTGTTGACACTGGATGTCAGCAATCCTTCGGAGACAGCGATGATCAAACACAGAGAGTCGTCTAACATCCCCAAATCGGAGAGGCCAGGTTTCACAAGCATAGAGCAAAACTGCTCTCACCGACGCGTTGTAGATCCGACCTTTTACAACTAGACTGACATCACGAAGGCGCCAAAGGTGGCCCAGATTGACATAAGCCGCTCTGGCTTTCACTATACGTGCATTGATCTCATCAGTCAGGCCACCACCAGCACTTATGCAGCTACCCAGATACACGAACTTCTCGACTACGTCTATCTGCTCACCATCCAGGGTGAGTACAGGATTGGAATCCTGCCAGTCTTGTAGAAGTACTTTGCAGTTCGAAGGTGCAAAGCACATACCATACCTACGGACACTGATTGCCAACTGATTAAGTGCGGATTGCATGGCTTGGGTATTTTCGCACAGTAAGACAATATCGTCCGCATACTCAAGGTCGAGAAGTTTTTCTCTAGGCCGCAGATCCACACCACCATTACTTACATCCATCAGAGCTGTTTTCAGAATGTCGTCGATGGCAAAGTTGATGAGGAATGGTGAGATTGGGCAACCCTGCCTAACCCCACTGCTTGAATGGGACAATGGAGAGAGGTGGTTGTATGCCCTCACTCTGCCTGGGGTGTTTGTATATGGGGCCTTTAGGATGTTAACAAACTTCTCAGGCACACCCTTCTTCACTAGACAATCCCAGAGAACAGTCCTATCCAACGAATCGAAGGCATCCCTGATGTCAAGAAACACTACGATTGTTGGCCTTTGATAAGTATGGCGGTGTTCTAACATTTGTTGGAGGGTGAAGGTGTGATCAATACATCCTCGACCAGAACGAAAACCAGCCTACTCCTCGCGAGCCAATCATTCTCGGGTTTTGAACAACCTGCGAAGTATGACAGAAGCTAATAGTTTGGACGCAATCGGAAGTAGACTTATACCTCGATAGTTGTTACAGGAACGACGTGAACCCTTCCTAAAGATAGGGACAACTATCGACTCATTCCATGACGTTAGTACACTCTCTAGTTCCCAGACCTTTGTAAACAACGTCGTCAGTTCCTTAGCCAGAAAGTCACTACCATCTTTAAAAAGGGCTGGAGGTAAGTCATCTGGGCCCGGTGATTTGTAGTGCTTCAAGAGTTGGAGTTCGTTGCGGACTTCCGCCTCATTTGGTTGAACAGTCTTCACAGGTGTTATAACTTGGGGTTTCCCCGCGTGGGTTCGAATCCCATCCCCGTCTCCAATTGTTATAACTTGTGACCGCCGATTAGTGACTTATCGATCGGATCAATGACGCGTAAACCCGTATGAGCAGCTTAGAGTTCTGATTGGTCCTCCTTTCCGCCTAGCCCAGCCAGTTAAGTCCAGAACACCAATCCGAGCCTCTGCGATATGAATCCTTATATTTCAAACATACTGAGTTTATATACCAATCAAACAGACCACAACGTAGCATAAAGTAGAAAATAACATTTGTACAAAATTTGGCCAAATGTGGCTGTGAATGTGGGAAGCAGTGACTAATGGAACTTTCTAATCTAACAGCACATAACCGACTGTTAACGAGGATCCGATCGATTAGTGCTGCCCCAGCTCTAGCGCTTAGTGCGACACCAACGCCAGAAAAACTAGACCAAGATGCTACAGGGTCCCCGGATAAACGCACGTAAAAGAAGCTTTTTGAAGCGACAGATGGAGAGCGAATTTGTAGTACTTCACCAGAGTCTTGAGTAGGGGTCTCGGATAGACAATAGACGTCGATATTAAGACTTTCCAAAGACATAGCTAGCCCTATCTGTTGTCCGACCTGCATAAGTGTGCGAACGTTGAAGGCAGCCAGTTTGAATGGTGCACGTGGTTTCATAAAAACTGCTTCAGTATTCGTATTTGGTGGTAGCATACAATTTTCAACCAGGCAGTGGCTCGAGAGCGTTTAGATAGAACCGAGTTTCCACCATAAGCGAGCTACTGTATAAGTCGAAAAATAAGGATACATAGAGCGGGAATAAAAGAGTGAATAAGTGACGTAAAAAATAATAATGATTTGAATTGTTTGATTTTTAATCGAAACGTGAATAGTATTTTCAGTAAATATAGTCCTTTTATTTGGTCTGTGACACTGCCCGGGTTCCCAAAACAAAGCAGGTGGTCTTCCTAGGGGGTCACACTCCGTGCCTTTGACCTAAAGGTCTAATCCACAATGCAGTGGAGCATGGTGAGGAGATGCAGTCCCATTGTAGCCGGTGACCAACAACTGGTTTATACGCCATTTGTTCCTTCAGGATACTGGAGCGATAGGTAACACCAGAAGACTATCCTGACCCATCGAGTAAACTGGTATTAGCAATTGTTATTGTCTGTTTCGGTTAAAAACAAAACCGTCTTTCTATCTGAGTCCAGCTTACTAGATTGTTGGGCAAACTTATTTATGGGATAGTGTAATTGTTCTCTAGCTGCTCTTTAGTTACCTACCATATTTAAACTACTCGAATGTGAAATTGGCGTAATTCCCACAGCTCTCAGCCAGTTTATAAACACATAATAGCTATACCTGCTTTGTGAACTTCGGATTTCTTTATGAGACGTGGTTCAGTTTTAGAAGTCAGGCTGAATAAAATATTAGCTTGTCTGAAAGCCCCCAAATACCCTGGTATGGCCGGTTGAATAATGCTTCTCCTTTGATGCTTAGTGCATCACTGAACGCAGCTAGATTGCAAGTCTGTGCCACAGGGTCTCTGGATTACTTGACTAGAATTCCCAGTGTTGGTCCGTGAGTTGTAGCAGACATTTGGAGTAGATTTTGTCTGATCATAAAACTGTGGATGTGATAAATGTTTACTTTGGATTGTACGTATGCTTCCGAGAACTATCAGATTTCGCATCAGTTATGGTGCTGAAAAATGATCACTTAAACGGAGTAGAATTTTCAGCAAAGACAAGTTGCCAAGTGAGTTAAGTAAAATTACTAACAGAATGAAAATAACAATTCGAACCCGAAGTAAAATAAGTTTGCTCATGATAAAATACTTATAAATTTAGTTCGGATGGATAGTGATGATTCCCAAATTAAAGAAGGCAATTTTCCGGGGGGATTACTGCAATATGTCTTTATATAAAAATCTAGTAGAATAGCGTCAAGACTGTGAATAGAACGACGTCAGGAGATTGACAGTCCGGACGAGTTTAAATATGTTACGTACGCGTGAAAAAGCCAGACACTTCACATTTTATCACATGGTCAGATGTTAGGTAGGAGATCATAAACGCGGCTTTAGAAGTTGATTATGTACCAGGTCAAGTTCTTGCCCTACATGTTTTTGTCTGATTCAGAACGAGGGATGTATATATACCCTTCATTTTGCAATTAAAGCTTCCTATCTGTTTCAATTTTCTTATTTTAACAGTGGATCTAGTCAACCGTAGGAAGTGTTTGTCGTTGCCCTCAAATGCCCTGGTACAGCCCGAGGATTGGGAGAGTCCTCTCGAAATGCTCTAACATGGCTATGTATATACGGCCACGACCAGGGAAGTCCTACTCATCGCCTTCTCGCTGCAGAGGTGTTGTTTAACAAGATCGAGAGGAAAAAAAGCGAATGTCCTGTGTTTCAAACAGGTTGGTGGATATAGAGGATCCACCTAGGGAAGTTGGAAAACTGTGATTCCAAACCAATGGTGTACATGGGCTCCAGAATCCTGAGGGAAGTTTGCTGCACTGCCTCATGGATTAGACCAGTAGGTCAAAGACTTGGAGTGTGACCTACTAAGAAAACCATCTGTCTCGATCCAGGTGCCCGGGTAATATTCCAGCCTTCACACAAATAACGAAGTGTGACGCATATATATTTGGTGCCTCCTTGTACCAATGTTTGTGTCTAAATAAATAGTGAATCGGAGCATAACACAATAAAGGTTCAACTAGGCGGGATGGGTTTAATATTTCTTCGTTAGCAGTGATCATCTTACTTATATGTGGGACAAGTTACTACCCGAATACTTGGGCTAAAACACATTACTTCTTTAAAGAATTACCCTTAAAGTTTTTAACTAAGATATCTACTCCAGAAGGAAGTAAAGCAGCGTTGTGGAATGAAATGTCGTGGTAACCAGTGAGTAAAATAACTTCGTATGCCACGCGTACCCTCAGGATCCTAAAGGCATGTCAGACATGAATTAAGCGCGTTACTCACGTCTTAATTTCGTTGGTGCCTAAATAACTTACAAGACACTAGTCACAAGAATAAACATGATTAAAAGACATTTTGTACGTAATCATGTAATTCTACTACAAAGGAAACTTATTATTCTGCCTAATGGTCTTATGCCTGATATCAACTCACTCGAAAGTTTTCTCCTGAGCAGCCACCTAAAATTTTAAAAAAAGGAAGCTAATTTTTTGGTAAGACATTTATGCATACTCTCATGAGCTAAAGCAAACTACATTTCGAAGTTATGAAGTAACTACTTCTGAATTCTTTAGTTTAGTCAAGTGAGTGCATTGAGGATTTTGACAAAATACGGTTTTTTTATCAGACTTACTCTTCATGTACTATGTTGAAATATGTAAGCTATATTTACGTGCAACACTGTATGATCAATCCAACGATTAATTTTTTATGGTTTTCATAGAGTTTACTGGAAAATGTACATAGGGATCAGGTTATGAGTTAAGTCGGGATTTATTTCCCTTATTGGCATGATTTTACAAACCTTTCCATGATGATTGATTTTTAGGCCAGCGGTTGCTCTACATGCTCATCTCACTGAACACAAGTTATCTCAACTATCGTTCTTCGAGAATTGTCATTCATTAGTTGCCTGGTCTGTTGTTATAATCTTCTATTTCATCATTTAAATTATGAATCAAAAACATTATCTTGTTCCATCATTTCTGGCCTCAAAGGGATTGGTTAAACTTCACATCGACTCCTTCAATCATTTTATTCAAACAGAAATAAAAAATATTGTCCGAGCAAACAGTCGTGTCAGTGTTCCAGAAGCCAATTGGTGGTTAGAGTATAATGACATATATATCAAACCTCCAACAGTAAATGATGGAGGGGTTGTTGCCAGCCGTGTTACTCCTCATGACTGCAGACTCCGTGACCTAACATATGCTGGCGAAATTCTTGTTGACGTTACGTTTGTTAGACAGAACGAAGTAGTATCGAAAAAAGGTGTCCTTATTGGTCGCATGCCAATCATGCTAAAAAGCTCCATATGTGTACTAAATGGTAAGCCTCCGTGATAGGTTACGAACATTTATGTGAATTTTTTCAATCCTCCTAGGTTCTCTTTAATGTTTCGTTCGTGTTAATCTTCCATACTAGTAGTTACATCTAGTATAAACATATATCAATACTTTCATTTGTCACACTACTTAGTCTTGTATCTACTCTATTTGCAGTACCTAAGTGTTAATGCTTTTGAAATTGATCTGGGAATTTGTAAAGTATTTTTAGGAGAACCTAGTGAATAATGCTTTTTAAAAAAAATGAAACAGCGTCTTTTAATGGTGATCATGTGCTTTATACCACAAAAAGCTAATGTATTTATGTAGTTACGGTCGACCGCTTCACTTATCTTGAGAGTCTCATCAGCCTTTGTGGTCTGATGTTTGACGAAATCTCAGCACGGATACAGAAGGCTCGACTAGCTTTTGCCAACTTGCGTCATTTATGGCGTAGGCGAGATATCCGTCCATCAACCAAAGGACGTATTTATTGCTCAGCAGTTCGTTCCGTCTTACTTTATGGCAGTGAATCATGGCCGGCAAAAGTAGAGGATATTCGTAGGTTACTAGTATTCGATCATGGGTGTCTTGGAAGCAGTGCTTGCATATCCTGGGACCATCGAGTAAGTAATGTAGTTGTTAGGAAACGGGTACTAGGTTAGGGTAGCAAGTCAAATGATGAAGTAATGAGACTTCATCAGTTGAGATGTTTTGGACATGTGTTACGTATGCCCATCCACCGACTGCCTCGACGTTCGATGTTTTCTGATGTAGGAGTAGGTTGGAAGAAAGCTAGGGGTCCGTTGCTCGCCTAGCACGTCCAGCCGAGTCGAGAATGCCAACAACAGCCTCCACTATGTGAATCATTTATTTCAGACATGCTGGGTTTATACATCAACCAAACAGACCTCAACGCACCATAAAATAGGAAATAACATTCATACACAATAAAGCCAAAAAGTAGCTGTGAACGTGGGAGACAATAATTAATAAACTGAGTATAATTTAGGAACAGTAAATCGTACAATAAGAATCTATAGGTCAAAATAAAGCTTATAATGAGATGAATATAAATATACACAATCTAATTACTGAATAGTTATAACATAAGAATATATAGATAATATTTGTCCATTAAAAGGTCTCAGAAGTTACTCGTAATTTAATCTTCACTAGGATATAACAATATCAGTCTTGAGTTTCTGCATAAATTCAACGAAGATAAAATTTATTTCTAAAAGATAAACCTCTCTTTATAAAAAGTACAGTATTGTAGTAGAATCAATACAGGCCTTTATTCTGACCAAATATCTAATTACGTCTCACGCCACTGAGTTGCTTAATTTCTGGGATTCTATGCAAGGATTCATAATTTTCTAGTACATATTAGCCAGTCACAACTATTCATTTTTAGCTCAACAAATTACTTTTAACTATTCAAAATCCATAATTTCTCAAAAATTTTAGTTTATCTACTACTTATGGGGGTACTTATCTACAAGCTATCATTTTTATGTCCATTAAATGAATTAGGTAAAAGTCCTTCGGAGCTTATGCGACTTAAAGAATGTCCATTGGATCCTGGCGGTTATTTCATTATTGGTGGTACTGAAAAAGTAGTTCTCATGCAGGAACAAACTTCCAAGAATCGTCTGATCATTGAAGAAGATAGTAAACGTGGATTAGTGTGTTCTGTGACATCGTCCTCTGCTCAAACGAAATCTAAGACTAACATCGTTACGAAAGATGATAAATTTTACCTTTCTCATAATTCCTTCATCGTGGATGTCCCTATTGCCATATTGTTTAAAGCAATGAACATTACTTCTGACCAGGAACTATTGCAGCTTATTGGGACAGAAGAATCTGTTTGGGCTAACTTTGTTCCTAGCCTTAAATTATGTTTGGAATATAATGTAAGTTGATTCATTTGATACTTGTTTTACATATTTTGCCAACCTTTCAGCATACTATGGGCTAAGTTTTGAGGCCGAAGAAATAGCCTTAATACAAGCTTCTTTATATCTCCAAATTAAGTCATTTGGAGCCAACGTTAGTCTCCTCCTCTAAGTAAGAGTATAAGATCTCGTTATAATAGTACTAAATTCTTTATAATCTGGAATTCTTCGGCATATGACACCACATTGTAAGTTTTTCGTTTCCTACAGACATTAGCCATGGTTATAGAATTGTATTTGGTGTATATTCTGACAAATGTCTCCATACAATAGAACTATATGTTCTCAGTTAGGGTTCTATCTATAGTTCCTGCGTCTGCATGCTGTGTGGTCTTTGGACTATTAAAATGTAGCCAATTATTCTGTTACAGGATTGTTCCAACTGGAACTTTATGAACATCTGATGAGACCTCATTCTGTTGCGGACTTCCAACTTGCCAGTTATATTTTCTGTCTTCAATGTAGTTATAACTGGAGCTTGGTTTTGAAATCGGCCGCACTGAATCACTGGGAAGAATAAAATACAACTACTACATCTTCTGTATCACTGCTTACTGACGGCCCATTTAAGAATTGACTTATATGTTCTTCCGTCATACATTTATTTCTCATCTTTTAATAAAATGCATTAGTGATATTAGTGATTGTATCAATTATTTATGTGTAAAATAGAAAACCAGACTGATTCAGCTTATCTGTCTGTAATTTTTCTAGAAGAATTTCGGCCGAATTTCCGTGAACTTCTGATGATACAATGCTTTTATTTGTCCCAAAAGAAAAAGGATTTTTCTCTGATACATCTTAAGTCCTGGGACTAATTGATTTGAAGTTGAAAAGATGATACAACTTTTTCTCCTTATGCATCCGTCAAGTTAATGACGCCACACCTGTCACTGTTTGTTGTACCTTCAAAAGGCCCCTAAATGCCCTGGTATGGCTGAGAGTGGGGTGGGCCCGCCCTCCAACTCGAAATGCTCTCACGCGGCCAGGGAAGTCCTACTCACTGCCTTCTCGAGGCGGGAGTGTTGTTTATAAAAATGAGAGGACCAAAAAGCGAACGTCCGGCGCTTTAACCGGATTCAAAACCAATGGTGCACATAGGCTCCAGTATCCATGAGGGAACAAATGGCGTATAAACCAGTTGTTGGTCACCGGCTACAATGGGACTGCATCTCCTCACCATGCTCCACTGCATTGTGGATTAGACCTTTAGGTCAAAGGCACGGAGTGTGACCCCCTAGGAAGACCACCTGCTTTGTTTTGGGAACCCGGGCAGTATCACAGCTCACACACACACACACACACACAAATATTGTGTAGCGCATATATATTTGGTGCCCTCTTGTACCAATATTTAGGTGTTGAAATACATAAAGTACCTTCAAAAGAAAAATGTTCTTGAGTTATATTGGGGCCTCTGTGAACAGGTCTTTATTGTGTTGTATTAGCTAGTTCGATTAGTGATTAATGAACAATTGTCAAAATCTGAACTCCTGTTAGTCCTGGAGCTCCTTCCAACCCAGTGTCTAATCAAAAGACGAACCCATAAAGAAGATTAATTCTTTTTTCAGTCGTGGCTAAAAACTCTCGGAGTAGTATAACTCGAATATCTGACCTACAGCAATACAAATAGAAAATTGCGATGTTTGTACGGTTTGATCAGAAGTAATATAAAAACGGAGCAATAGGAAATTAATTAGTGATGCGTATGGAAAAAAATGAGACATAATAACAGTTTATGTGTTGAAATAATTGAATATTAAAGATTCCCATTGTGAAAATTAGAACAACACATATAAGCGAACAATTGTTTTCAATTAGATCGTCATCAAGCTTTACTCTAATATACATAAATATTTATACGAAAATTTTAAACCAATCAAGGCAATATGGGTCAATAATCACAATGAAATAGAATAAGTCACTACACATAATAGGTAAAAGTACAAGTTGATAGTACGGAGACAGGTGAACAGATAGTGGTAAGAATAATAAACTACAATAACAAACTCTTATCAATAGTTAATCGTTGAAAATAGAAGGTCAAATAAACATGGGTAAATAGACTAGGAATAGTAATCACAAAACCTTAAAAATCATTACGTAATAAGATGTGTGTAAATAATTAGATAGTGAAGAATACAAAGAGGCGGATAATGACAAACAAATAATGGATGTGGAAATAAGGTTAACAATAACACAGATAGAATAAAATAAATAATGATAATAATAAAATTTAAAATAAAATAAAAAAAATTGTTAGTTAAGTTATAACTGGCCATGGAAGGGATAGGGGAGTCATGTATTTCTTCTGTACACATAGATTGGGGTTATATGTACGAATTCCAATGGCTTCAGCTATATATAGGAGACGGGAACGGACTCCGTCGGGAAATGATGGAGGTATACGATAGATAACTCGAAATGATTTCGATTTCTCTACTGCATGACCGCTATCAATAAGATGTGCTAGTATAGAACTGCGAATAGTTTTTCTCTGACCCTTTATGTACCAAGTTGGTAGATGTTCACTCATTCGTTGGTTAAGTTGGCTGGTAGTACGCCCTATATAGCTATCTCCACAGGAGCAGCTGAATTTGTAAATGCACATGGAAGAGGCCAACTCAGGTAACTTATCCTTCGTTTGAGTAGACATCGCTGGTCGACAAGAGAAGGTCAACGCAAGATTGGCTGCGTAGAATGTCTTGGTGATTACTTTGGTTAACCTATATTTCAGAGTGTCACTAGCCACATCCTCGTTGAATTGCACTTACATGTATAAAGGTTTCTTACGAACAGTCGAAATCTCCGACTTCTTTATTATATCCTGCATGTATTTCTTGATGAACGCGCTGGGGTAGCCGATCTCGGTCAGTGAGTTGTTGATAAATCCAAGTTCCTGACTTAGAGTGTCTACTGTACAGATCTTTTTTGCTCTGCTCGTGAGACATCTGACCAAATTCCTCTTGTACCGGATGGGTGTGAAACTGCAGAAGTGAGTATATTGGCATGAAGAGGGGCTTCTTCTATACACGCTTCTACTTAATGTGCCGTCACTTCGTCTGCTTAGTGTGACGCAGCAGAATGTACACAGCACTAAGAAAGTTGTCTTAAGAATGAAGAAGGTTTGATAGAAATTATTTCACTCATTTATAGCAGGTTTCAATACATTTGAAATGTATCAAGTGCCGATTTGATAAATAAATGTGGTTATTAATTTCTGCCGATCACTAAATAATTATTGGTAGTTATCGTATTGTCTCCTTTACTTTATTTTTATATGTAAATGTAGGAGTTGTGATACATGTTTTCTCACTAATTACCTACCTTGAGATTGTTTACCGTTCTACATTTACGTAGGTGCTAATGTCTTTGTATTCTAACTTTAGTAAGATACTTAAGTTTTGTCTAGTGCGAAATTGTGGGTATGTAAGCAAATATTCTCCTGAGAACAAGGTACATTTATTTAACCCACGATGCCACACATTTGTAAATTGCAGTCACAATAAATAGTGAGAGTATAGTTAAATGAGGAACGAGTTCAATTCATTTTCGTCTTTGGTTCGATCCCTTACCATGTTCATTTGCAAATGCTTCAAATACATTTTTTGATGGTAAAGTTTTCATAAATTGTATTCAGTCTCTAAGTAATAGAAGAATGCAGTAAACGAGTTTTCTTCATTGACAACCATCGTGAACATAATATCATTTCACGGGAGTATTTTTATTTTACAGTTATGGTTATTCGTTCGAACTTATCTAATTTGTATTGGGAAGACTTTCAATAACTGAAGCTGTGAATGTCGGTTTATGACTATCTGATCGGTTGTGTTGTTTGAAGTTGAAGTCGTTTTATAACATGTACTCACGTAATCCAAATTATTGATTTGAACTCCCTGAAATGAACAGCTATCGACAGAAAACTTATTCTTACTTAACAATTATGATCCATTCACAGACAAAATAAAAAAACAGTTACTGAGGAGCCAATGAATTTCTTTCTTCAGATATATATCAGTTTCCCTTCTTTTATACACAATGGCGCAGATGCATCCATTCTTTGTCTTCCCCCAATTCCTCATAACTTTTTTAATGTTTTTACTTCACTAATTTATATTTTGTTGAACCGTATCTTCGATGCATAGTCTTTTCTATCTCTACTTATATTGTTACTACTTTACTATTCTGGGATTTGACCTAACAATTCCAACAGCTTGCGCTAATGGGGTATGGCAACTTGACTGATGTACATACGTACCAGGTTCTACGTTACTATTGTCTGACTATTATGGTTTTTTTACTTTTAAACACTACTAACGAAGCATTTTTTGTACGCAGTAAAATCGATAGGTTAAAACTAAAGAAATTAGTATCAAATGGTTTGTAAAACTCTGTAATTATGTGACCAATTTTCGGGAAATATAACAAAAAAAATCAATTTGGATGTTGATTGTTCTAAACCATTATTGTAACCGTGTTTATCCAATGGTTCACAACGTTGATAACTCCTCCATGTTAAAAAGGATACTGAAACTGGCTTTTACAATTGATTAATTGCTGTCGTGCTTGGTTCTGTTATTCACGAATTCAGTTGACTCTTGAGTGCAGCCATCATTCCACTCCGAAGTGAAATAGTATGATCCATTAATGTGAAATGATAACGAAAGTTATTTTGTAAATGGTTTCATCTTTAAAGTGTACTCAAAGTTGTTAAAATCACTCAACTTTGGATTTTCTTTTTTTCAGATCCATACCTGTTTAGATGCTTGCAATTGGTTACATTCACGTTTAAGACAACCTCGATATCGCACTGCTTTCGGAGCTAGTAGGACGCTACGAACTGCTGCTAATATTTTAGAGACAGATATTATCTTAGAAATACAGAGATTTTTACGAGATATAATTATTACACATATTGAAATGGAAAAACTTAACTTTGCGCCGCGTGCATTCTTCTTGGGTCAGATGGTTCGTTATTTAATACTAGCCAACGAAAAACGTATTCCTGTAAGTCCTATTTCATCAAATAACTTGAGTTATATGCAGTTCATCAAATCAGTTACTTTATCTCATGAATAGAAAAATTGTAAATCTTTTTTTCGATGGTAAAACATGTTGAAACAGGTGTGATAAAGTAGTGAAACTGAATTCAGTTAATGTAAAAATAATTAAGAATACATATCACTTATATTAACTCATATAATCATGAATCCATTTCCATGCACTTCGTGTTGCATTTTAACCTGGCCAGTAAATTATATTCTCCTCTAGATGTGTAAGTTTTAAAACTTAAGTGTCAATTTGCTGGGTACATAAACGTAAGGTACGCCGATGATAAGTATTGTAAATAAAGCTTCGTTACCTAATGTTCGTAGTTTCGTTATTTTTCATAAAAGATATAAATAATCCATAGTTTTTTTAATGAGAGCTATTATTTTTGATGTTACCTAATTCATGTCCTGTTTTAATAAGATTTCATTCCAAATTCTAACAAAAACCATCACTTTGGAATTATTTATTTATTTGAACACAAAAATATTGGTAAAAGGGGGCACCAAATATATATGCGCCATACAAAACAATGAGAGTGGGAAAGAGAAAAAGAAGGTAAGGTGCGTATAAGAAAAAAAGAACATTAACAACCACAGATTAGTGTAAGGTAGTGTAATAATAATAATAGTGATGGGGGAAACGGAAAGGTACGATCAGAAGAAATCTTTCAGTTAAGGAAGAAACAACCATTTTCTATAAAGAAAGTAAAAGAAGGTTACAGCAGGATCGCCACTGGCTTCTATTCTGAACAATATCTGATAACGTCTCTAGCCACTGTGTAGCACCATCTCTAGGACCCCAGTCAGGGAGTCATGAAGAACCAACAGGAGCCAGCCCTTTGCAGCTTTTTCTCATACCACAACACCATGTCATACACTGACCACCTCTCTGCCTTTTTCCAACCAGTCCCAGAGTCGGCAAATAATGCACGACGTGGAATTCTCTCGGACGACATTCGTAGAACATGTCCAAGCCACCAAAGTCGGTGTTTCAAGATGGTGACACCAATCGAATTATCGTCTCTGCACCCGAACACACGATGCCGAAGCTCTGCATTACTGACATGGTGTTGACACTGGATGTCAGCAATCCTTCGGAGACAGCGATGATCAAACACAGAGAGTCATCTAACATCCCCAAATCGGAGAGGCCAGGTTTCACAAGCATAGAGCAAAACTGCTCTCACCGACGCGTTGTAGATCCGACCATTTACAGCTAGACTGACATCACGAAGGCGCCAAAGGTGGCCCAGATTGACATAAGCCGCTCTGGCTTTCACTATACGTGCATTGATCTCATCAGTCAGGCCACCACCAGCACTTATGCAGCTACCCAGATACACGAACTTCTCGACTACGTCTATCTGCTCACCATCCAGGGTGAGTACAGGATTGGAATCCTGCCAGTCTTGTAGAAGTACTTTGCAGTTCGAAGGTGCAAAGCACATACCATACCTACGGACACTGATTGCCAACTGATTAAGTGCGGATTGCATGGCTTGGGTATTTTCGCACAGTAAGACAATATCGTCCGCATACTCAAGGTCGAGAAGTTTTTCTCTAGGCCGCAGATCCACACCACCATTACTTACATCCATCAGAGCTGTTTTCAGAATGTCGTCGATGGCAAAGTTGATGAGGAATGGTGAGATTGGGCAACCCTGCCTAACCCCACTGCTTGAATGGGACAATGGAGAGAGGTGGTTGTATGCCCTCACTCTGCCTGGGGTGTTTGTATATGGGGCCTTTAGGATGTTAACAAACTTCTCAGGCACACCCTTCTTCACTAGACAATCCCAGAGAACAGTCCTATCCAACGAATCGAAGGCATTCCTGATGTCAAGAAACACTACGATTGTTGGCCTTTGATAAGTATGGCGGTGTTCTAACATTTGTTGGAGGGTGAAGGTGTGATCAATACATCCTCGACCGGAACGGAAATCAGCTTGCTCCTCGCGAGCCAATCATTCTCGGGTTTTGAACAACCTGCGAAGTATGACAGAAGCTAATAGTTTGGACGCAATCGGAAGTAGACTTATACCTCGATAGTTGTTACAGGAACGACGTGAACCCTTTTTAAAGATAGGGACAACTATTGACTCATCCCTTGACGTTGGAATACTCTCTAGTTCCCAGACCTTTGTAAACAACGTCGTCCGTTCGTTAGCCAGAAAGTCACCACCAGCTTTAAAAAGAGCCGGAGGTAAGTCATCTGGGCCAGGTGATTTGTAGTGCTTCAAGAGTTGGAGTTCGTTGCGGACTTCCGCCTCATTTGGTTGAACAGTCTTCACAGGTGTTATAACTTGGGGTTTCCCCGCGTGGGTTCGAATCCCATCCCCGTCTCCAATTGTTATAACTTGTGACCGCCGATTAGTGACTTATCGATCGGATCAATGACGCGTAAACCCGTATGAGCAGCTTAGAGTTCTGATTGGTCCTCCTTTCCGCCTAGCCCAGCCAGTTAAGTCCAGAACACCAATCCGAGCCTCTGCGATATGAATCCTTATATTTCAAACATACTGAGTTTATATACCAATCAAACAGACCACAACGTAGCATAAAGTAGAAAATAACATTTGTACAAAATTTGGCCAAATGTGGCTGTGAATGTGGGAAGCAGTGACTAATGGAACTTTCTAATCTAACAGCACATAACCGACTGTTAACGAGGATCCGATCGATTAGTGCTGCCCCAGCTCTAGCGCTTAGTGCGACACCAACGCCAGAAAAACTAGACCAAGATGCTACAGGGTCCCCGGATAAACGCACGTAAAAGAAGCTTTTTGAAGCGACAGATGGAGAGCGAATTTGTAGTACTTCACCAGAGTCTTGAGTAGGGGTCTCGGATAGACAATAGACGTCGATATTAAGACTTTCCAAAGACATAGCTAGCCCTATCTGTTGTCCGACCTGCATAAGTGTGCGAACGTTGAAGGCAGCCAGTTTGAATGGTGCACGTGGTTTCATAAAAACTGCTTCAGTATTCGTATTTGGTGGTAGCATACAATTTTCAACCAGGCAGTGGCTCGAGAGCGTTTAGATAGAACCGAGTTTCCACCATAAGCGAGCTACTGTATAAGTCGAAAAATAAGGATACATAGAGCGGGAATAAAAGAGTGAATAAGTGACGTAAAAAATAATAATGATTTGAATTGTTTGATTTTTAATCGAAACGTGAATAGTATTTTCAGTAAATATAGTCCTTTTATTTGGTCTGTGACACTGCCCGGGTTCCCAAAACAAAGCAGGTGGTCTTCCTAGGGGGTCACACTCCGTGCCTTTGACCTAAAGGTCTAATCCACAATGCAGTGGAGCATGGTGAGGAGATGCAGTCCCATTGTAGCCGGTGACCAACAACTGGTTTATACGCCATTTGTTCCCTCATGGATACTGGAGCCTATGTGCACCATTGGTTTTGAATCCGGTTAAAGCGCCGGACGTTCGCTTTTTGGTCCTCTCATTTTTATAAACAACACTCCCGCCTCGAGAAGGCAGTGAGTAGGACTTCCCTGGCCGCGTGAGAGCATTTTGAGTTGGAGGGCGGGCCCACTCCACTCTGAGCCATCGCAGTGTATTCGGGGCTTGGAATAATTGAAGTTAATTGTGGGTTAACCAAGTGTTGACCATGAGGTGTTTTTCCCTAAACTAGTATTTCAATCTATTTGGCTGCGTTTAGGACTGATTTGTCTCAGGTACGCTTAGTTGCAAGTATGGATTTCATATCTAAAATTAAGGATTAAAAGCTCTAGTTTGTCCCTACTAATAAATTTGCATAGATGAAGGGCTTTTTTTAAAGAGTACAGTCATCTATAATAGCAATAATCTCTTTATTCAATATCATATGTTTAATACAGAGGTGGAACTCTCAACATAAAATATCTCAACAGGGCGTTCCTATCCTTCTTTACGTTAAAATTGATGTGTGTACATATAAATCCAAGTTGTTTAGTAAGTTTTACAACAGTGATTCGTATTTGTGTATTTTTAACCTCATATGTTTCCGGTTATTTTTTATTTACGAATGTCTTATGTGTTAAGTGGATAGTTTAGATTTGATAACTCTTACTAGTTGTGCAAGGTTCTAAATGCTTATGCACAGCCCTGTTTATAATGAAATCGTAAAGTTCTTCACTGACTGTCTAAAGTTCTTATTCAGTGGAGTTTAATGCTACTAATTTAGTATCTTAGTAACGTGAGATCAACTTTCAATCATTGAGTCGTTTGTGAAAATGTAATCCAACGCACAAAGATATAGTTCGTCGAAGGTTATCTCTCTCCTCAGCACAATAACTGTTATTCCGTTTGGCATACAAGCCTACATATGGGATTACATTTTCTCATAGGAGTCAAGTTTTTAACATTTATATATATACCTGTTTGAAAACAAAGCAAACCAGGATAAAGAATTCAAATTTATTCAGAAAAAATGTAAACGTTTGATTATTTGCAGTAGATAAATTAATTTTATAAAACCAAACCAGAATGAATAGTAAACGTAAATAAGTTTATTTCATTGGGATAAATGGTTCGACTAATGATGATCGCGACAAAAGGTTTTTACAAATACTTAGTTAAGTGATAGAAAGATAAACGTTTCTTTGTTCATTTAATGACATATGAAAACTAAACTAAAAACCATCCTGTTTTTAATCGGTGTAAGTGTATTTCAAGTCATTGTCCTACTGACTGATGTGATTATCATGAGCCAATCTTTGAAGTCAGTATTTTGTATCAATGCTTATTATTCGCATACTTATTTTCTCATTTATTGTAACTTCTTTCAGAGGATAAAACCGGAATCTATAATGTTTTTTAATGTCGTCGTACATTTGTGTACTTACGGCGTTCTCTTTGGAATCTGAATAGCTGATACTAGAAATTCCAACAGTAACTCCATGTCCTGGAAGTAGTTGAAACCTTCTTAATAGCTTCCATTGAAGTAATTGTTTGAGGAGAAATTCGACATTTTGGGGATCAGTGTTCAATGTACCTCTTCCAGACCAAAAACTTTTGATTACGTTCCATAATTTAACCAATTAAGATTGAATTATTTTCACACTTTATGATATCACTGAGAAATTTTCGCTCATCGCTAAAACTGACATTCAAGGTTAGGGTTAATGTATCGCCAACTTTCCTGGGATATGTAGCAATAGAGTATTTTTAAAAATGAATGTCATGAAATACCGAAATTGTCTTATACGTAACATATGAAATTCGATTGTTTTAGATAATGATCAACAATGAAATTCAAGACTCATTTAGTTCTATTTGAAACTCACCGGGTTGATGTAAATTCATCCTAGTGTTAATGTTCACACTAAGATTTAATCTGAAAATCTATCGCCTCAAGCACCGACGAGTCACTCATTAAGCTAATATGTTATGATAGCCACACACGTCATCCAATGGTTCCAATATTTATTATTTATTAAGGTTGACATCCAGGACTGAATTTGACCAACAAATTTATCTGAACATTTGTGGTGGCAAAACTTTAGCCCTATCAATTCCTGATTTATCAACGCCTTTAAAGAAAATTGTTTGCTCATTAAAACTCAGGCTCGCTAGTGTTGCTATTACAATTATCATTAATTGTTAGATTTAAGGGTTTGGCTTGAGTAACTGGGACTTTCAACAAAATAATTTGTTAGTTGAGAAATTATTGGGAAAGTCCTACCTTGCACAACCCTTTTTTAGTATTTTCTATTCTCATCCTCATTTTTTTTCAGCTGGTCACTTAATAAGACGTAATTAAAACAGATTATTTCTACCAATATCGTGTATTATGTATTGTTTTACTGGCCTCAATCTTCTTGATTTGTGAGGACGAAGATTCTAACCTCTTAAAGGTCCATCGTTGGATATCATCCCAGGTAGAATTGTTTTTTATTTTCCTAACAAATGAAGCATACTAATATCCTATCTTAAACGACCTATTATTCAGTAGTAACGTTTAAAGGCTCCGATGTAAACATTTCCACAAGTTTTACGTATACGTTTTAGAAGGGACCTAACATAAATTTCTTCCAAGTTAATTGGGACTTACACAACTATCCCCTCGTACTCTGTACGTTTCTGTTTCAATCTTCTATAATATCTTCTAATTAATTTTTTCCATGCATATTTTTAAATATGTATATCAATTTTCAAAATAAATCAATTTTATGATTGTTAGCCAGATGATCGGGATTTTTATGGGAACAAACGTATCGAATTGGCTGGTAGCTTGCTGGCCCTTTTATTCGAAGACGTCTTCAAGACATTTAACGAAGATCTCTGGTTAACAGTGTCCAAGATTGATACAAAACGCCGATGTACACCTTTTGATATATCTCGACATATCAAGACGTGGATGATAACCGAACAGTTAAATAGAGCAATTTCTTCTGGAAATTGGATCATAAAACGATTCCGTATGATGCGACATGGTGTTACACAAGTTGTTAGCCGTTTATCTTACGTTGCTGCCTTAGGACATATGACTCGAATGACGAGCCAATTTGAAAAAACTCGTAAGGTTAGTCTTTGGAAAGTGTGATTGATGAGGAATAAAATTATTACTGCTAATTGTAAGGGTTTGTATTTTACTATTGTCCATATTTAACAACGAATTCGATCAGTCTCAAACAGAAGTAAGTACCATAATCGGTAGACAGATCGACGAATGCTGTTGGATTCAGTTACATCGAGCTGACAAGTCCTGTGTAGGGTGAAATGTGCGTTTTACACTTTAACTATAGTCACTATCGAAAAGCATTACAAAAATGCATGCTTCACGACTCGTCTCTACTGCTATTCGTCAATTTTCTGTAAAAAAAAGACTACGAACACCATTATTCACTTGTGTAAAAAGAAAATATATTCGTAGTCTCTAGCTAAGTTAAATAGAGATAATGTAAACACGCAAAAATGTTTTCTGAAATCACCAAGACAAAGTAAGATGAATCATTGTAATACGTTCTACTCCCTATTCGCGTCATATAGTATCATAGTTTATGCGCTCCTCAAGTGTTGTTTTACTAGGTGCAACGGATAAATGTTTTCCATTTCTTCGTAATAATGGATTGTTTACATTGCTATACAGAGTATCGTTTTTCTTACTATAGGTCTCTGGTCCACGTTCTATTCATGCAAGCCAATGGGGTCTTATCTGCCCATCTGACACACCTGAAGGGGAAGCTTGTGGACTTGTTAAAAATGTTGCTCTCATGTGTCATGTTACGGTCGAAGTAGACGATGCACATTTGATTGAGCTAATTAGCAACTATTATACATTTCCACTTTACCAGATGAGATATGCTAAAAATGAGTATGTTGATGTTCGCCTTTTAATAATATTACTTTAATTTACATTTTCCTCTGACTAATAAATTTATTGAACCAATTATCTAATCCAAGTGGATTTTTCAGGCCTGCCATCTCATTCATACCTTCAATTTGTATTGCTGTTTATAGCTGTTTTGCAACAGCATAGTTGAATTTTACGATTACTGTGAACTAATCAATTATCAGAATTGGGTAAATTGTCGCTCGAACGGGTCACCTAAATTATTGTACTTGAAGCTCGCTCTCGCGCTACACTTTTATTTAATTTTGTCATATAGATACTAGTATAGGTAGTGAAGCGTCCTTTCAACTTTTAGCAGATAAATCTATCTGAAATCCCTCTCATGAACTTATAACGCAGAGATGATAAGGTTCTGTGTGATGTGCACTCTGGAGAAATAATCTTCTGAAAGCTTCACGATCAAGCCATCCAGCTTAGAGAACAAAACTCCATCAAAATCATCCACCTGAGCTACGAATCTTCTCCACCATCTCAAAGTCCAGGAATGTTTTGTCTCCGTTTCCTGTCCTGTAAAGGCTGTATTCGTAAGGTTGTATCCGTAAATGCCTATCCTAAATAAAGAGATTAAGGTAGTTGAGTTTACTGATTACTTCATGTACTTCAGAAGCTTCACTACTTCCGGTGGGTTGGTGACGAGCGACATCTCGACAAGTGGTCTACGAAAGCAGACGATATGTACAGATTACCACCATTTGAGTATAGATGACTTGAAATCACTGATTGTGCATAAGAGATTCACTCTTTGAAGTGTACATGTTAGATATAGATTTCTTGATAAGCTTTCTAAATCGATTGGTTAGGTTACTAACCCCGCTGCTCTATAGTGATTAGATGTGTTCCCTAGTGGATATATTACATTTGTATAGTTGCGATTTTCCTGTCAAAAAAACAAATTTGGAAAAATACTGATGTACGGAAAAATAGACAGGATAAGTCCACAAATGTGTTGACTGCTAGTATGCTTACGTACAAATAATTAACAGGCAAGTAAACATGGTTAGATGGGATAAGTAATTAGAGGAAATCAGTTTTGTACTTCAAAACACTTCCCAGTACATAGGACCTAAATGTTAGACCTACTTCTTGGTCGTTTTATCAGCTAGGTTCCACATTGTTTCTTTCTTACTGTCATTATTTCAACAGTTTTACATAAAAATATTTACTATGTTAGTCGCGGATACATTCCTTAATATCTAATAAATTTCAGGTACGTAATATATGTAAATGGAAAACCGATTGGATTCACTCAACACCCTGGGAAACTATGTGTTTTGATTAGAGGTCTTCGGCGTTCGGGTAGAATTCACGGTTTTGTTTCTGTTTATATCAAGCAAGCTTATCAGTGCGTTCATGTCGTTAGTGATGGTGGCAGATTCTGCAGGCCTTATATTATTCTGTGCAATGGAAGACCACTCGTAACGGAATCTGTTCTTCAGGTGAGTTGTTGTGGCGACATTTTTTTCTAACTAGAGTGCCAAGTGTGCTTCACATAATTCAGTCGATATAGAGATTACTAAGTAAGTATGCTGTCAGGTTATGACCTACTTTTCAGGAATTACCAAATGTAGTCGTAAAATTGCTAGTAAAGTGGAGTTATGACAATTACATTTTGTTAATGCTAGCGAATTCTACCAATATATATTGTCTGTTATTGATTAGGTTTTTACGATTGTGAAAACAAGTGGTAGTATCTGGTTATCTGAATCAAAGTAAGTGAAATCGAGTACAACGGCAACGCTTTGAGGTTGGTGATGTACTACTCAGACCAGTTTGAAACTTTGAGTACCAACAAACGTTATGTATTTATTGATAATAATGATTTCCTCTAAATTATGTATATGTAGTAGTGAAGGATTTTTCGGCTGTTTTATTCACAGGGTGATTAAATATTATCTGATGACGTGAATCCCATAACTTTAGTTGCATTCATTGTCCCAAACATTTGATCATCCTGGTTCTGTTAATGTGTCTTGCTCTGCATTAATAAAATATGTTATTACTTTGATTAATTTGGGTCATAATTTCTCCGGTGATCCAATAAATTGGTACCTTGATTCATTTGATGTATTTTTAAATTGTGTTTTGACATGACTAATTACTACTTGTAGGATTTACGCCACAATGTTCTAAATTGGGATGATCTATTGAAAAAAGGGTTAGTTGAATATTTGGATGTTAATGAACTCAACGATTGTCTGGTTGCAATGGACGAGTCCTGTTTAACCGACGGTAATCACTATACTCATATGGAAATCGACCCCGCCACAATTTTAGGTGTCGTTGCTGGTTTAATTCCTTATCCGGATCACAATCAAGTAAACTTTGTTCTTTACTTTATTAAATAAATAATCTCTTGAATTACTTAATATAGGCTTTATTTAAGGTACCCTAGATCTTATAGGTACGGTGGTAGCTGTTATCTCTTTACCAAACCGTAAAACATGATTTGTGTTGAAATAATTATATAAAAGTCATTAAAAACCTGACGTGTTTATTGTTTTCACGGCGTCCTAATTAAAAAGCACATGACTAATTGATATGTGGTCAGTGAAAGTAAGCTATGATTGAGCACTGAGAGAATACAGACAGACACTCAGGTTACTTACTGTTTAGTGTGAACTCTTGATTATTGATGTCGATTCTGAACTCATTGAGTATAGACTACTTGTAATTGTATTAAATAAAATATTGTTTAGCCTATATTCTGGTTCTCTTTATTTGATCGTGAATCCTTTATCCGGTATAACGTGATTCCAGTCTGTGTATAGCTTATCGATCGGGTATCTAGTCTCGTGGTAGACAATCACGAGTACAGGTACATTACAGTATTATTATTCTTATTACCATTACTACTATTAGTATTATTATTACTGTTATTACTACAGGCGGCCTGCTTGAATATCTGGGCTACCTGTTTCTGCCATCTGATTATTTCAACAAGTTATCTGTTTTAATTTGTTTTAATTTATAATTATGTCCATTAATCGCATAACCTATTCAGGCGCTTTTATGAAAAGCCTACGACCTTTCGCTGCACAAGTTACGAAAAAGTACTATAAAAGGCATCGTGGTGGTTGGCAATATGCGTTAAAGAGAATGAACATTAATCGTATGTCAATTCCCGAGCTACTAAATTCTAACTGCCGATCACTAATCAACAAAGTGGACTATCTGCAATTCCTACTTAGTCAAAATACGTATCGTAATTGTGGTATCATCACAATTCAAGAATCTTGGTTAAATGATTTACAGGATGACTGCCTTGTATCACTACGTGATTTTAAAATTTATCGTCAGGATCGATCGAACAATAAAAAGAGGTGTGGTGGCGGTGTAGCTACGTTTGTAAACATAAACTGGTGTCGATCGTCGTTTGTGTGTTTTAAGTTTTCAAATGACTTTATCGACTGTCTAACTTTAAGATGTCGTCCAAAACATCTGAATAAATACAAATATGTTTATGTTACCAATATCTACGTGACTCCAGATTGCACATCATCTGCACTATCTGTTTTTGCTGATGAATTCACTGAGTTCGCTGTTACTGCCTTCAGTGATTCACTTTCAGTTGTATGTGGTGATTTCAATTCGTGTGACTGTAGCTTCCTTACGTCACTAGGTCACCAAAATGTAGTGGATTTTCCTACTCGTTTGGATGCTCATCTAGACTGCGTCTTCATTAATGATGTGGGTATATATGCGACTCGTAAACGTGCTCCATTGTCTAGCTCAGATCACTGTATAATTCGTGTTCTACCTAAAGTATATGGAAAGCATGGGAAGAGTACACTCTTACGTCAAACCAGGAAAGTCAAATATAGGAATTACTCAGAAGAAAATATCCGAAATCTGAAAAACATGTTTCATACGACTAACTGGGAATTATTTACAGATGACTCACTCGAAAACACTACTGATGTTATCACTTGTTACCTTAAATTCTGTTTTGATATTTGTTGTCCCATTGAAACCATTTTTGTAAGTTTTGATCGACTTACATCTTCACAACTAAAACGACTACGAAGGATGAAAGGAAGAATGTACAAGGAGAAAAACTCTAATGAAGTTCGTAAACTAAATGGTCTGATAAACCTAGAGATTAGACGTCTCAACTGTATGTTTACTCAAAAGCTCTTATCTTGCAAAAACTCTCCAAGTATGTGGAAACTCTTTAAAGAACTTACAGGTGACAGACAGATTAGGAGTGATAACCAGCTGAATGTTTGTGACTTAAATAAGTCTTTTGTACGTCAGTCATCTGATGTAATGCTTCCTTCATCCACAGGTTTAAAGAATAGCTGTATTCCTAGTTTCACTGAAATTGATACCCGAAGATGTCTCCAGTCACTTAATTCATCCTGATGTTTAGGATCTGATGGTCTCCCGAACCTTCTTTTTGAAAAATGTGCTGAAGTCCTATGTTATCCATTCACGACTATCTTTAACAGACCCTTCTCATCTAATCTCATACCGAAAATGTGGAGAAAGATGAAGATAATCCCTGTACCAAAGAAAGTATCTGGTGATAAGAATGTGAAATTTAGACCTATTGCAATAACTTCATCCTTCCTCAAAACCATGGAAAAATTATTAGTACTTCCACTTGAGCCTGCGATAAAAGAGCATATTGATTCGTATCAGTTTGCTTACAGATGCAAAAGAAGCACCTTAAATGCTGTTGCTGTTCTGCATCACAACATAGTGTTCAACTTAGAAAAGGGTAAGAAGTATGTTCGATGCGCTTTTCTAGACTATACTTCAACTTTTGATTCTATACCAAGACAACGCTCACTTTACAAGTTAATCAGCGTCAACACTGACAGCTGGGTAACCAACTGGCTATGGTCCTATCTCTCTGGAAGGGAACAGTACACTGTATGTGGAGGAAAATGTTCAGAGTCTCTACTGTCTCATAGTGTACCACAAGGAGCCGTTCTTTCACCTCTTCTTTTCTCTATTTTTCTGCATGATCTGCCATCTTCTACAGAGAACACTTCTGCGGAATATGAGGATGATCTCACTGTATGTATGCCGATTTCTACCTCTTTACATCCCATTGAATTGAATGAGTTTTTGTCTCGTATTGATTGTTGGTCTGTTGTTAATGGTCTCAAACTTAATCTGTCTAAATGTCAAGCTGTTAACTTTAGCATAAGACGTGAACGGCATCTAAACAACCCTTTGAGATCCTATAATGCTCGTGCCATTGGAGACTCTTTGATAAACACAGTGTCGAAGGTCAATTATCTTGGTGTTACGTTTTCCTTTGATCTCCCTCGGTCTTATGTTTTACTGTTATCGAAGAAAGTTTTCCATCTGACCTACTACATAAAGAGACTACATGCTTTTGGGATTACTCGTCATTTACTCTTACAATTTGTCAATTCTTGCATATTACCTATTATTCTTTACTGTTCTCCATTATTCTTCCCCGGGCTTTTGAGAAAAAGCTTTTGCTGTATTGCGGAGAGTGCTGAAGGCAGTTAGCAAGGTGTGTGGTGAATCTTTCGAGGTCATAATTAATATGGTTGTGGATAGACATTTAAAATCATGCAAACTCCTGGCAGGTGTCATTTTATCAGATACTAGCCATCCCCTTCACTCTTATCTTTCTCCTTGTATATCTTCTGGTAGAACGAGACGTAATTACATTAAAATCCATGCACGCAAGGAAAAGTATAAAAGTTCTATAATACCTTACCTAGCAAATATACTCTGTGACGAACAGGTTGTTAGAATTAACCTAGTCAATAACTTACATTCTTAACATGTCTTTAATTTTAAAAAGTTTGTACAGTTTTTTTGGTTTATTTTATTTTATTTTTTTTAAAAACCTTTTTTTATTTCTTTTTGTGCTTGCTACTGCCTTTTTGTTCGTTGTTCAGTAAGTAACTTGTTGAAATACCCTGTGCTGAGAATTCTATATTGTACCAAAAAGATAATATTGAATAAAGCCATTAATAATAATATCATGTCCAGCGCAAATAGCTTTTTCTGCTAATATACCACAAAACATGTTACTCGCGGTGTAACTATCCTTGATAGTTCCGTTTACATACACTTGATTGAACATAACTGTTTCTTTAACTTTTATTCCATATATATATATATATATATATATATATATATACTTTTTACTTAAAAGAGCTTTTCGTTTACTCTTCTTACTGGTTTTATTGCAAAGAATCTTCTAAGAGATATAAAATTAGTAATTTATGTTTACAATTTCATCATTTAATGAATGCTTGAGTGAGTGTTCTTTTCTTTTTTATGGTGTATATTTGATAAAATATTCTTATTATTTCCATTTCAAATATTATAGTCTCCCCGAAATACTTATCAATGTGCTATGGGTAAGCAAGCTATCGGCACTGTTGCACTTAATCAGCAAATCCGTTTTGATACGCTTCAATGTCAAATGGTCTACCCTCAAAAACCCCTTGTTCAGTCGAAAACTATTCAAATGATGCATTTTGATGAGGTAAGCTTTTGTCATATAATTAGCAGTTTTGTTTTTACCTAACGTTAAAATATGCTCTCTGTGTATAATCTTATTCAAACCAAATTTTTTTTCCATATGATACTAAACCAACTTTTACCACTGAGCACTACTAAGAGAGCAGGTAAACAGTATCAGTTTATGCCTTTTATGAGTAGTTAATCCAGTTTATTTCGTAGTGATTAATATGATTTGATCACATTATAGCGAATATATATATATATATATATATATATATATTCGTCACTTATAACCCTAAAGATCTTAAGATGATTTATTATTCATGATTGACGATAAGGGTGTGATTTGCATTTGTTTCCTTTTTATTTTACAGTTTAGAAATTATATAGCTTGTTATGAATCATGTTAATTTTAATGGTCGTTTGTCTAAATAGTGAATATGATTTAATGTTCTCACGTCTACACCGTCTCGTATTTTGTACTTTATTCACATAAGCTCCCTGCCGGTCAAAATGCAATTGTAGCAATAATGTCTTATTCTGGGTATGACGTTGAGGATGCATTGGTTATTAACCAGGCTTCAATTGATCGAGGTTTTGCTCGTGCTTGTGTTTATCGTCGGTCGGGTGTTCATCTCAAAATGCATGAAAATGCAGTTTACGATCGCTTAATGGGCCCTAGCATAGAGCGAGGTAGGTGAACAGTAACTTTCTTAAATGTTGCCTGATGCGTTATATTCGTTGTGTATCATTATTTTCTTATGTTCCTTCATTTACACTTCAGTTACTACTGCTTTTTACCATACAAAGTATGTGTCGAAATAATCCAGCAGTCAATCTTACCACTTCTAATTATCCTTCTACTAGGCCTTCCTATTTACAAAAATATATATACAGTTCACTACTTTAGAGAGTGGTGCACTTATTATTTTTCTTCATGCATCCTGTTTTAATGAATGTATTTTGCCTTTTAAAATGTTACCATATAGTGCTGACATATTACAAGTTTGGTACATTCATTTAGTAAAAACGAATTTTCAATTGTACTAGTTTGACGAACTTAGCGTATTGTAATTGAAACAACAGTCACCTTATTTTCATTGTTTTAAAGTGCTTTACCTGGTTTGAAGTCAGTCTGTTTGTGACATTGTTCTCTCTTTAACTTTCTACCTCATGTCGTCTTTAAAGCAATATCCTGAAATGACACATATATGCATCGGTCGAAGTTGCCACACCTCATTAGCACAACGAGATGAACACCGAGTTGATAGAAGTAGTTAATTCAATGGTGGTAATATATAAAGAGAAAGAATGCATATACGGATATAATACATGAAGAAAGAATTAGTTTGTAGAAATAAAAGTATAAAGCAATTTTAATCTCATAGTTTAAGGGAAGACAGAGAGTGTATACATCTACGTCATTGTGATCGATTTTGAGTCATATCACCCAGAGTCTCCAATCATTCGTTACGATAGTCACACGAACTTCAACCAAGTGGTTTGCATCTACCAGTATGGCTCAGACTAGAAGCTAGTAACTTAAAGTACTGATGCCACGTTTTGGTTTGGCCGCCCTTAATTTTCTTCTAACCATCTCAGTCAATGAAGATTCATAGCCTCATAAACTGGATTACCATCATTCCCTAATACCATGCGTCTAACCTCACTATTACTTATCTGGTGATCCCAGCAGATGCTGGCAATATTTCTAAAATATCTGTGACAAATACTAGTAACTTACATGTATCTTCTACTCTTAATGGCCACGCTTCGTAACCGTAAAGTAGGACAAAACGAACTGCTACGCAGTATACTCGTCCTTTAATTGATAGACAGATATCTCGCCCTCGCCATAGATAACGTATGTTGTCAAAAGCCAAGCGAGCTTTTCGAATCCGTGCTGAGATTTCGTCAGACACCAACCCATTAGGGCTGATCAGACTTCCAGCATGAGTGAAGTTGCCGACGTGTTCGACTACTATTAGAGCATAATCGGAGTCCAAACATGTATTCCAGAACGAGCGACAGTCTTTTATGAAGCCTCTCCAACGATGACTGTTGGCGATATTTATTTATTATTTATTCGAACACATGAATATTGGTACAAGACAGCGCCAATATATATGCGCCACACAAAACAATGAGAATTCGAATAGAAATAGAAAAAAAAGCTAAGGGGCGCAAAAAAAGAGAATAATAACGAGGAGATTGGTGTAAGGTAGTATGGTAGAAATGAGGGAACGAAAAGGTACAATCAGAAGGAATCTTTCAGGTAAGGGAGACAACCACTTTTTATGAAGAAAGTAAAAGAAGGTTACAGCAGGATCGCCACTGGCTTCTATTCTGAACAATATCTGATAACGTCTCTAGCCACTGTGTAGCACCATCTCTAGGACCCCAGTCAGGGAGTCATGAAGAACCAACAGGAGCCAGCCCTTTGCAGCTTTTTCTCATACCACAACACCATGTCATACACTGACCACCTCTCTGCCTTTTTCCAACCAGTCCCAGAGTCGGCAAATAATGCACGACGTGGAATTCTCTCGGACGACATTCGTAGAACATGTCCAAGCCACCAAAGTCGGTGTTTCAAGATGGTGACACCAATTGAATTATCGTCTCTGCACCCGAACACACGATGCCGAAGCTCTGCATTACTGACATGGTGTTGACACTGGATGTCAGCAATCCTTCGGAGACAGCGATGATCAAACACAGAGAGTCGTCTAACATCCCCAAATCGGAGAGGCCAGGTTTCACAAGCATAGAGCAAAACTGCTCTCACCGACGCGTTGTAGATCCGACCTTTTACAACTAGACTGACATCACGAAGGCGCCAAAGGTGGCCCAGATTGACATAAGCCGCTCTGGCTTTCACTATATGTGCATTGATCTCATCAGTCAGGCCACCACCAGCACTTATGCAGCTACCCAGATACACGAACTTCTCGACTACGTCTATCTGCTCACCATCCAGGGTGAGTACAGGATTGGAATCCTGCCAGTCTTGTAGAAGTACTTTGCAGTTCGAAGGTGCAAAGCACATACCATACCTACGGACACTGATTGCCAACTGATTAAGTGCGGATTGCATGGCTTGGGTATTTTCGCACAGTAAGACAATATCGTCCGCATACTCAAGGTCGAGAAGTTTTTCTCTAGGCCGCAGATCCACACCACCATTACTTACATCCATCAGAGCTGTTTTCAGAATGTCGTCGATGGCAAAGTTGATGAGGAATGGTGAGATTGGGCAACCCTGCCTAACCCCACTGCTTGAATGGGACAATGGAGAGAGGTGGTTGTATGCCCTCACTCTGCCTGGGGTGTTTGTATATGGGGCCTTTAGGATGTTAACAAACTTCTCAGGCACACCCTTCTTCACTAGACAATCCCAGAGAACAGTCCTATCCAACGAATCGAAGGCATCCCTGATGTCAAGAAACACTACGATTGTTGGCCTTTGATAAGTATGGCGGTGTTCTAACATTTGTTGGAGGGTGAAGGTGTGTTCAATCATTCTCGGGTTTTGAACAACCTGCGAAGTATGACAGAAGCTAATAGTTTGGACGCAATCGGATGTAAACTTATCCTTCGATAGTTGCTACAAGAACGACGTGAACCCTTTTTAAAGATAGGGACAACTATCGACTCATTCCATGACGTTGGTACACTCTCTAGTTCCCAGACCTTTGTAAACAACGTCGTCCGTTCGTTAGCCAGAAAGTCACCACCAGCTTTAAAAAGAGCCGGAGGTAAGTCATCTGGGCCAGGTGATTTGTAGTGCTTCAAGAGTTGGAGTTCGTTGCGGACTTCCGCCTCATTTGGTTGAACAGTCTTCACAGGTGTTATAACTTGGGGTTTCCCCGCGTGGGTTCGAATCCCATCCCCGTCTCCAATTGTTATAACTTGTGACCGCCGATTAGTGACTTATCGATCGGATCAATGACGCGTAAACCCGTATGAGCAGCTTAGAGTTCTGATTGGTCCTCCTTTCCGCCTAGCCCAGCCAGTTAAGTCCAGAACACCAATCCGAGCCTCTGCGATATGAATCCTTATATTTCAAACATACCGGTTGATCAGTCGTCACTGGCCATAGAGTGCAGGACAGTCTGACCGATGTTGCTCGAGCAGCAGGCCAGTTGAACTGCACTTCGAAAAATTCTGCCCATCGTCTAAGACTTCGATGGATGTTAGTGATTGGCATCCCATCATCCTCGCAGATTGTTTCACTCACACCAGACTTCTTACTGCCAGTGGCTTGAATGAGTTGGAAGAGCTTCCGGTAGTTACCAGATGCAGCTGCTGCTTTCAGCTCATTAGCACGCTTCGACCACCAGGCTTCTCGGTCTTTACGCAAGCTTTGATTAATTTCCTTACGTAACATCCTTCGTTTATGGTCAAACTCACGGTCACCTGGAGTAGACCGACGGGCTTCAATTAGTTGTAAGGAGCCTGAAGAAACACAGTGCTTATAAGCCGGACGTTTCGCGAACCCACAACTTACTGTACCCGCAATTTTCATGGCGTCATGCAATAGCAACCAATGCTCATCTATACTTTTCGGTGGAGTGGTAGCTAGCACAGAGGCTACCTTGGTTCGATACTTACTTGCAACAGAAGTTGCAACCAGCTTGATAATATCAATCCGTTGGTGGCTGTCACTTCGTTGTCCACTGAAAAGTAGGGCAAGATTGGCGCAGACAAAGGCATGGTCAGAGACCAGATAGGTACTCCAAAAGGAGCGGCAGTCTTGTACACAACCACGCCAGCGGTAGCTGATCGCGATGTGATCAATCTGAGTCCATGCTTGAGATGCAGAGGAGGACGCCAGGTAGCACATCGGCGATGACTGTGCCGAAAGTTAGTGCTAGCCAGAAACAGGTTGTTGTCTGTGCAAAGTTGCAGTAGACGATTTCCGTTATCTGACCTGCGACCAACGAGTCCCCATCGGCCACCTAAACGACTCTCTTCTGTGCCTAGACGCCCGACCTGAGCATTCAAGTCTCCGGCTAGTACTACAATATCTGTCGAAAGCACTTTCTGGAGAAGAACAGATAACTGGTGATAAAACTCATCCCTGATTGCATCCGGGCTGCAATCTGTCGGGGCATAGGCGGAGATAACGAAAAGACGTCGTTTCTCACGCCGATTTTTTCTCACTTTGATGGAACTCTCTAATCTAACAGCAAATAACCGACTGTTAATGGGGATCCAGTCGATTAGTGCTGCCTCAGCTCTAGCGCTTAGTGCGACACCAACGCCAACAAGACCAGACAAAGATGCCACAAGGTCCCCGGATAGGCGCACGTAAAACAAGGTTTTTGAAGCGACAGATGGAGAGCGAATTTGTAGTACTTCACCAGAGTCTTGGGTAGGGGTCTCGGATAGACAACAGACGTCGATATTAAGACTTTCCAAAGACATAGCTAGCCTTATCTGTTGTCCGACCTGCATAAGTGTGCGAACGTTGAAGGCAGCCAGTTTGAATGGTGCACGTGGTTTCAGATAAACTGCTTCAGGGCCACTCCCCGAGCCTTTGACCTAAAGGTCTAACCCACAAGGCAGTGGAGCATAGTGAGGAGATGCAGTCCCATTGTAGCCGGTGTCCAACGATTGGTTCATACGCCATTTGTTCCCGCAGGATACTGGAGCCCATGTGCACCATTGGTTTGTGATCCGGTTAAAGCGCCGGACATTCGCTTTTGGTCCTCTCATTTTCGTAAACAACACCCCCCCCCCACGAGAAGGCAATGAGTAGGACTTCCCTGGCAGATGCTGTATACGCGTGGCCGTGTGAGAGTATTTCGAGAGGGAGAGCGGACTATCCCCACTCTCTGCCGTACCAGGGCATTAGGGGGCCATGTTAGATGATGTCTCTCCTTATGCTTACATTTGTGCTTGCTAAAAATAAACGATCGTCTGAGCAAAGTCGCAGCAGATGATAACTATTATCTGCTCACTGAGCTGGAATTCTAAAATGCCCACGTTAATGTCTTTCTATTTGGTTTGAGCTACCTACGTGAGCATTAAAGTCACCTGCTATGAGTACTATGCTGGAGTGTTTAGCTTTATGTAGAAGTTCAGAAAGTTTTCCGTAAAAGTCATCTTTCACTTCATCCGGTGTGCAGTCAATGGGAGCGTAGGCAGAAACAACGAAAAGGCAACAACGTTTGTCCCTATCGTTTCGAGTTCTTACGGAGCCGTTTAGTCGAACATCACATAGGTGACTGTTAACGAGGATCCATCCTAATAGTGCTTGTTCTGGCCTCGTACTAAGTGCTGTACCTACACCTGTCCGTTCACGAGAGGGTGTATCTCCTCGGCCCTACGTTTTGGCGAGATGAGGTCAAGTGGATGACCACACTAGGATCCTGTATTCGTGTTTCGACGACACAGAACACATGAATAGCACGACATTCTATGGTTTTAGCCAAGGAGGCTTGCTGGCCGACTCGACATAGGATGCGTATTTTGATGGCTCCAATGTGTAGTTTGGAGCGAGGTTTCGGTAGACCTGGGACAGTAATTTGTGCACCAGAGTTGGTGGCCATAATGACATTTGAGGAGAAAGTCGAAGGAGTAAGTTTAGATCTGATAGTCAGTATAAGAGGAAATTAATTATGAAATCAGTGGTCTTGTGTAATGTTAGAAGTATGATGGTGGTTATCAGCCAGTATAGCCTGATTGGTTCATCACGATAGACAAGCCCGACCACCACGCCAAGGTAGCAGCAACAGTTGGGAAGACTCTTTACGGTGAAGCTTTATTACGATAGTTTAAGCATTCATTTCTATATACGTGAGATAATTTTCTGCATTTCCATATTGAAATAGGCATTATTTAGCTGTATCCTTTTTTCTACACTAGTGTTTCAAGGTGTTTCCTCTCTTGCATGCGTCAGAGTTCCATTCAGTTATTTGTCTTAATCAACGAAAGGTAAATATTTCATCTAGATCATGATACAAAACATTGTTGTCGACACTTTGTATCCACCTTCTAGTCTTTACTCTGTATCTCTCTATATTTTGCTCTACTTAGAGACCGGCGTTCTTCGTCGTGGAGATGAGGTGCTTCAGGCGGATGGAGTTGCGTACATTGGCGCTTGTGTTAACGACCGTCAAATCCTTATCAATAAGGAAATGCCTGTTGTTAGTTCAAGCGCTGTATTGGATAATGCGGGATCGCTTAGTTTAAATGTGAATACACCTGAGAACGCGGTAAATTATATGTCTTGTAACTTATTTTGCGCTTTTTCTCTCAATACTGAACTAATTATGAAAATCATAGTAGGGAATATACAGTACAAAATACATTCATTCTTATTAGTTTTATAAATAAACTCTGTGACCAAGTGTCCAGATGATGATCATTACATATTTGCTTCGCTATTCAGAGCAAATTCGATATGAACGGTTATGTCCAATAATTGTATTTTTACATTTCATATGTAAACTGCTGAGACATCATCAGTATATGGTGTTCTTGATGGTTGTTAAATATGACATATCTTCTGAATGAACGCTGGAATTTATTTCATAAGCTCTTCTAATAACCCAGGCTAACACTATACGACACGAGAGAAAAGGTGCGAAATATGGAAAGAACGCTTTACTCCTAGGTTCGTTTATGTACAAAAAACGAGGATATTTATAGCTTTTCAGATGGCATTGGGTTTCTAGAAGGTTCTGAAACCTTACTAAACATAGTAGCAGGATGGGTCAATCATCCATTCAGGAATGTGATACGTGACTCTTCACTTTATAGATGTTTGTGAAGAATTTCTATTCATTGCAGATTGGATAAAATGTTTCCCAGCGTTTTCAGGGCCCCTTTGGGCTTTTTCCAGGGAATATTCTGTGTCTCATTAACAAAGTGTGATTGAGATCACAAACAGAACCAAGTTAGATGACAATCAAGGATCAGGAAGCACTGGTGATTTTAATAACATTCAATAATCTCCATAAACCATCAAGGATCAGGAAGCACTAGTGATTTTAATAACATTCAATAATCTCCATAAAATCTCCATAATCTCAATAATCTCCATAAATCTCCATAATTATCATGTACTCACTAGTGAATTAATTCGAAAGTAAATTTTCAGAATCCTAATGAGAAGTCGTGACCAGTGAAGTTCAACCATATTAGGTGCGAGACAGTTACCCACCACCGGCAATAGAAAGTGATTGGCAATATTGGGATTTTGTTTATATTTATACAAACAATCCACAATTGATAGTATCTGATATTAATGCTCTGAAAATCAGTGAATAGTGTCAATCCAAGAGAACTCATTTGATACTGAAAACAATATATAAATTATTGGTGTTGTTGAACTATAAAAGTATCCATATTTCAATACTTGTACTAAGCTATTAACAAAATATGTACCACTTTTCTTGTGTAACATTCTTTGTGATGACTAAATATTTCTAACACTCATCTTTTTTTACATTGTAAAAGGAGAATGAGAAAAGCTCACAAAAATTAGTTCATGAATTGACAAAGTTGATATTATGTTAATTACTGATTTGCGCTAGACTTAATTTGAACATTGTAAATCACCATCGGTTATGGTTTTAAGTGAAATTAATTTTTTGTATTTAGATTTAAATTCAGACACAAATCTTATGATTTATTCTAGTTTATTTCTTCATTTTAAGTTGGTGCATTTACTATTTCATTTGTTTCTAATAAAAAATCAACATCGAACCCAAATCTCTCCCCGTTGATCCTACCATATTCTTTCTCATTTTCTTCATCTGGTAGACGGAATTTAAGCGTTGTCCCGTAGACTACAAAGGGATAGAACCGTCCTATGTAGAAAAAGTTATGTTTTCCACATCAGAAGGAAACCAAGCAGTAGTAAAGATATTGTTGCGTCAAACTAGAAGACCCGAAGTTGGCGATAAGTTTTCCAGTCGCCATGGTCAAAAAGGAGTCGTTGGACTTATTGTTCGTCAAGAAGATTTGCCTTTCTCAACGAATGGCCTTACTCCTGACATCATAATGAATCCTCATGGATTTCCCAGTAGGATGACGGTAAGTAAATGCTTTTGACAAAATTCCTTCGAACCATTGTTATCAAGGGATATACGGTTTAAAGATTTCGGTCACTCCATTGTTTTCAAATCCTCCTGATAAACTTAACTGTATCGTGATTTCCTATTATTTTTCAAGCTATCAGTAAAGATAATGCATAGTCTTATCTATAACGAACCCTAAAGCTGAACTAGATTAGAACCCTTTGTAAATCACTAAACATATTCCAAAATGATTTCTGCTGGGGATTAAGTGAACTTGTGATAACTTCAACCCTAGCAATTTCTCTCAAATAAATTGCAAAATTCACTTCGTCTCAACACAAAACTAAATTTCAGTCAGTCATAATCAACAGAGCTTGACACCAATGTATGTCAGCCCAAGTTGCCATACCAAATAAGCACCACAATATGAGATTACCAAGATAAACAAAGTCGAAATAACTACAGTATTAATAATGATTAAAATGATTAAGCATTAAAGAATACTTTTGAAATATAAGGAATGAATCCGCTGAAATATGAATTACAGAATGATATCCAAGCTCGAGATTCATCAGAAGAAACGAGAGAAACACATTCAATCATACTTGGGTACGGTGTTCAGAAAGTTCGCCCTCACGCAAATCGAATGATTTACGTGGCGCATATCTATTTGGTGCCTTCTTGTACCAATGTTTGTGTTTAAATAATTAAGTTCAAAAGGTTTTGTGTCATGGCAGAATTTTATCCAGACAAAACTGTTACCTGCGTATCCAAAATCAGAAAGTAAACCTACTGGTCCGAGAATACACAAACTCTACAGGAAGTTTGTAGACTTCAATAAAAGAAACCTTCCTATCCATCTAGATTGCATGATTTGTTTTTCACCTGTTATGCTACGAAATACATGCACAAATTTAATCACTCCACAGTGTAACATACAAACACAAGGAACGTGCATCGTGAATGTTCACCTTTGATAATTATGGAAGTAGTATCCTTAATCTTGTTTTCATCTACGTTTTGATCTAATTTCTTGCTTTAACGATTTTAAACTTGTGTGCGATTGAGATCGACTCTTTGGAGTAAACCAACGTGCATAGTCATGAAACATCAATAATTTATTTTCAAATTCGTCGAGCTATTAGGAATAGATTACTTCAAACACATTTCTATGTAGATAAATGCTTAGGATGAGGTAATGAGCTTAAGAAGATTTCCCAATAAAGTTACCGCTGTAAAATTATATCAACCATGTAATCTTGGACAAAATAAATCTGTCCATAAGTAGTGCTTGTGAATGTAACACTATGTTTGAAGAGATTACGAGATCACCTAAAAATCGACGAACGGGACGCAGGATCAGCGATGCAACGACAAGACAGCTGAACTATTCTAATTTGTCCCAGTCCAGCTAACAAGAGAGAGAATTCCAGGTTCAGATGAGGGAAAGTATGTTCCATAAGCAGCCAGAATCATGAACAACAACAAGCATACAACTCAAGCGTATATGTACAACGTCACACAATAGCGTATTAAAAGAAGCAACCAACCAATGACATTTAATGTCCTTTCATGTGGGAAATACAATCCGAAGTTAAGAATGGGCGCTTTTGGCGCAAAAACGAGAAATTCAAATTTCCAAAATAAAATCACGGAAAGAAAAGCTTACTAAATAAATTCTGGGGATCTAGCATCCTCAAAATGTAAATACTATATTTTTCATCCGAATTATTACGTAATTTATGTAGTTTTTGAAAGAGTAATCTTAGAATTTCGCAAATATTTGCTTCATTTTTATAGTAGCTTGCGTTCCCGAAGATCGCTTTAAATTGTGAAATGCTGATTTGGCTTTTTAATTAAAGTGGATTCTGTTCAATCGATGTCAAACAAATAATCTATATACATTCTGTTAGAATTCGTCACCTAGATTTTTAGTATTTAGAAGTCACTATCTGTAAACTGATGAATATACCATCGTGGAATAACTTTCTGTAACCTTGAGGGATTGATTCTGTTTGGTAACTATCAACTCATTTCGCAACTCTTCATACTTAGCATGTTTTTAATTTTTATTTTATTTCCATTTCGTAAATTTATTGTCTGTATTTACTTTGAAGGTGGGTAAATTGTTAGAAGTCTTGGGTAGCAAAGCCGGGGCCATCGAAGGAAAAATTCGAGACGGTTCAGCGTTTTCTGGGGATCCTGCTGAAGTCCTTTCACAAGTACTCATTGATCATGGGTATCATTATCTTGGCAAGGAGATTTTGTATTCTGGAGTTACTGGAGCCCCGCTTGAAGCGTTTATTTACTTTGGTCCTGTTTATTACCAGCGACTTAAGCATATGGTTATGGACAAAGTAAGTGTCGAATTTTTTATTTTGAATTTAATATAGATTGAGGTTGCTGGGTGCGTGATTAGTTTCCTTTCGCCTTTATTTTTCCTCTGCTTGGAATTAGAGTAGTCATATAGATTTTTTGAAAACAGGTTAAAGTCCTAATAAAATTAAAACCACCGAAATACTAAGTGGTTATTTAGTGAACGAAGACTTAGTGCAGATAACCAACTTACTGTTTTTAATGTAAAAATTAGAGAGTGCTTTGGTCAAATATGAAAAACATTTTTAGGGTGTCTTTAGTTGAGAATGAGTCTAGAATGAAACATTAAAAAAAACTTCTTTTCAGAATAAAAGTAGACGCAAATCAACTTTTAAACCATTAGCGTCCTATAGCTATGTTTTATTTGACAAAATTTGCAAAATATTTCCAAATATTTCGAGTAATATGTCTACATTTCTCAAGCTTAGTGAATCTGAGGACTTTACCCTTTCTTCTGTCAGTTATTCCACTTCTGATTGGTGTTACATACTACTTATGTTGACAGACATAGCATACACCACAGTTTTACCTCACCTTACCTTGATCACAAAAATGTAGATAGTTGTATCTTTTCGCATTGTCACTGCTGTTCCCTTCGTTTGAGGATCTTGGCTATTACTGTTGGTGTTAATATAACGGTGACATTTAGAAACGCAAATTGAATTATTATCACTATTATCAAACCGTCGAATCACATATAATTCTGCTTCAATATAAAACATTTTACTTTTTCTGAATGAATACATACCTAGTACTTAGTTGCATATATCCAAACATATTTTATCCCATTACTTTGAACAGATTAAAGTTTGGGAGTAGTGTTTTGTCGATCTGCCTAGTACAATTTTCGCAGTGTCTATGGACTTGATTTGCTTTTTTCTTACTGGATACATTGTATTGTTATTCTTAAACTATTGCACTATCACTTTCAGGTACATGCTCGCTCACGCGGGCCCGTCACAGCATTGACTCGACAGCCGACGGAGGGTCGTAGTAGAGAAGGAGGTTTACGAGTTGGAGAAATGGAACGAGACTGTTTTATTGCTTATGGTACTTCACAATTACTATTAGAACGTCTTTTGCTTTCCAGCGATGCCTATGATGCATGTGTATGTGAAAAATGTGGTTTGTTAGCTACATCACCTAACTGGTGTCAGTATTGTCGAAGTAGCCGTCAAGTTGTTTCTGTCCGTATGCCGTATGCCTGCAAGCTGCTTTTCCAAGAACTGATGTGCATGAGGATTCTGCCGCGCCTTCGTTTAAGGACTGCTTATCATAGCAGTATACACACTAAATCTAGGTGATTCATTTTGTATATTCAAATTAATTGTTGTTGATAACTGCTATATAATTCTTATGAATTTGTATAAAATCAGCTGTCACTATTTGAACATGTTTTACTTATATTTATCAATGCGTATTTCCATTTACTGCGAATCGATAGTGAGTACAACATAAGGGAACTGATTAAGAACCAATTAGGAAATTTTTAAACGGGTTAACAAGTCAAAGGTAAACGAAGAAAGACGTCCATGTTCCTTGTATTCATCTATCTAAATACGCTTGTGTTGAAATACTTGATAAAAATGTAATGAAATTATTTATCTTACCTTAAAATAACATTTTTCATTAAGTAGTAGTATGGAAACTAATTTGATAGGGTACCTATCATATTTTGATGTATTGTTCAATAGAATTACTATCATCATGATATTGACAAAACGTAAAAACCATTGACTTCCCAAACAAGGTTTGATGAGGTCGTAAATCTTCCTATTGATCTCATGGCTGATCAACCTACTTTCCATACTAAAACCAGGTAAATAAAAATTCACTTACTTCCTAAATATGAGTCTTTAATCATGTATATCCAAAATAATGGCAAGTATCGGAGAGATATAATGGTAATCTACACGGTCAAATGAAAATTAGCTTGACATCAGAATTACTGTCAGACATACATGTTTACCTTTCAAATAATAGAGTACAACTCAAATTTCTAGAGGGACAATAGTGATACTCGTTCTATGAACAAAATTAGGCGTTATCTCGTTATGATCTTGCCTATGTTGGTAACAATAGCCACTATTCATCACGTGAGTGATATAGCATATACATTCTACGACTTGCTATCAGTAAATGACAAATTCAGTTTAGTGGTTAGGACTACCTTTTATTGTGACCAGGTACTTACTTAAGCCTGTTACTCCTCGTGCGAGAGCATAGGCCACACACTAGTACTTTACATCGGACCCTGTCCTGAGCAATCCTTTTCATATCTGCTTCCGATTTCCGACGCAGTGTGTTCTTCGACCTTTCTCTTTTCCGTTTCCCTTCAGGATTTCAAGTTAGTGCTTGCCTCGTGATGGAGTTTGGTGATTTCCGCAATGTATGCCGTATCAACCTCCAAAGTCTTTTCCTAATTTCCTCTTCAGTTGGATGCTGGTTTGTCCTCACCCACAGAATGTTGTTGCTGATGGTATCTGACCAATGGATGCTGAGTATCTTGCGTGGACAACCATTTATAAATACTTTTACCTTCTTGATGGTAGTTGTTGTAGTTCTCCAAGTTTCAGCTCCGTACAGTAGAACTGCCTTGACGTTGGTATTGAAGATCCTCACTTTGATATTGGTTGAAAGTTGTTTTGAGTTCCATATGTTCTTCAATTGTAGGAATGCGGCCCTTGCTTTGCCAATCCTCGCCTTTACGTCTGCGTCCAATTCTCCACGTTCGTCGATGATGCTGACCAGATACGTGAAAGTTTCAACTTCTTGCAGAATTTCTCCATCAGGTGTGATTGGGTTGGTGTTCGTCGTGTTGTACTTAGGGATCTTGCATTTCCCCTTGTGTATGTTGAGGTCTACTGATGCAGAGGCTGCTGCTACACTAGTTGTTTTCACTTGCATTTATTCGTGTGTATGGGATAGAAGGTCCAGGTTATCTGTGTCTTTCATCCGGCTCAGCAACACTACGTTGAAAGCTTGGCCTGGTACTGCCAGTAGTGTGATGTCGCTGTAGACTCCACATTTACTCAGACCTCCTTTCTTTGGTGTCTTTATGAGTTGTCCTTTTTTCTAGTCCATCTGCAGTTTTTCCGAATCTTCTTGAATAGAAGGTGAAGCATGTTTTCAGTTACTCCAATGTCTGACTTCCTGCTGCTTTCCCGCTCTTGATTTATCTGATAGCCTTCCTGATTTCGATCGTTGGTGGAGTGATATCTACAGGAAGGTCTATGTGTGCTGCTTCGCTGTCCAGTGGATTCAATGGAGCTAGTCTATTCAATAGTTACTCGAAGTATAAATAATAGCCAATGAGAACATATTGATATGTGGGCGAGCAAAATAACGATTGGATGTCACGCTAGTAGATAGTCTGACAGGTGTTTGATGTGTTACATATATTTTCCTACCTTAAATTATATGATAATCAGTTGTTGAAATATATTCACATGCTGGTCAAGTCAGTCACCTGTTCTTGATCAGAGATGTGTTGGTGTCCTGCGTAATAGACAGAGTATCTGACGCAAAGGAGAGAAACGAGTTTATTTCACGTATCTTCCCCACTTTTTTATAGTTCTATTTAATAGGCTATTATCTATGGATGTTAAAATATAGAACGGGAGCCGCTGGGAATAAACTTCACGTGTTTAATTCATCGAACAGTATCTTAGTCCGTCATTGCGGCTATGTTATGTTTTCCTTTATCCTGTCACTCAATTGTAGATGTTTCGAGATGCTTTCTAACATAGAATTTATTGACGCTATGTCTTTTGCTATGTTGTTATTTTTTTCCTTCAAAACTGACTGTCATACACTTAACAGATCTTTAGTATGATGGTGTGATATCTTCATCGTCAGTCATGCACAACGTAGAACCTGTGCTTATGTACATCGGTTCAAGTTGCCATATCCCATTAACACAGAGAGATGAAGTCGTCAGGCCAAATCCTAGGGGTAGTAGATGTATTAACAGTATCAGAGGTATTAGGAAAGATCAGGCATCGAGTATACGACTCGAAAAGTAAATATAAATTGACAGAATAAAAAAAGTTATGGACTTAGAATTTCTTGGGGAAACAAAGAATGGATGAACCCATACTCATAAAGGAGAACAAAACAAAGTGCTGCACAGTAAACTCGCCCTTTAGTTGTTAGACGAAAATCTCACTTATGCTACAAGTGACACAAGTTGACAAAAGCTAATCGAGCTATCTGAATTTGTGCTGGGATTTCGTCACACTGTAGCATCAGTACTGACGAGACTTTTAATATAAGTGGAGCATCAATTTAGGCGATGACTCAAGCCAATCCTGAGGTAATATCATAAATTCGGAGGGAGAGGACCCCATTCCAAACATGCTTGCACTGTTGCTTAAGGTGGTCAGTAGGCTACATTTTGTCAGCGTTTTCACCAAACAGAACTATATCACTTGTGTATCTTTAGTCAATAAGTGAATCTCCTGGTAGAAAATCAACTCCTGAAAAGTCAGACGAGTGTCATCTCTAAACAAATGTCTATGACAAAGTTAAATAAAAGTGAAGAGAACGAACAACTTTGACGAACACCACTTGAAATAACCAATGACAGTTCACCATAAACTCTGACTCCACCAGTGTTCTAAAAGAATAATGTTCTTCTCTGGTAGGCCTTTCGAAGACACACTGTTACGAAATCTCTCGATCAACAGAATCGAACGCCGTCTTTTGGTCAAGGAGCACAACTATACTTTGACGTTGAAAAGTATATCTATATCCCAGAATCTGCCGAAGGATGAATATTTAGTCTATACATCAACGTCCAGGTCTGCAACCGGCTTGTTTTTTTCGAGTTCGCTCTTCACAAGCTTTAGTTAGACCTCGAAGTATCATTATCTTCAATATTATAGATACTATATTAGTTGAACTGATTCCCTTGTGATTGTCATAAGAGAATATTTGTCCTTCTTCATAAACTTGGACGATCAGCGACCGAGGTCAATCAAATGGGATTAAGTCCAGTTTACAGACTATGGCTAAGATTTCAGTTAGTCTAACTTTTATAACTGGACTACCATCCATTTCATGAAAGACATCAAAAACAACATTTAACGAAACACGCCCTCGATCATAAATTACGATGGTGTAGATATTAATCCCAACTTCATTTTTAGCTGGTCACCAGGTACAAGGTTAAAATTGCCAATGGGGGTGAGGTTAACACTCACCGACGAGAACTAGCCGTTCAAATGTAACTTATATTTGCCACTATGTATGCCGCAAAAAACTGTATTAAATAGGAATTCCCGAAACAGTTCAACTTAAGCCTAGTAAAACTAGGTGAGTACAAATGAACGTATTGAATTTAGAATTCGAAATCAACCATCATGTTTTCATACAAACATCACAGAAATTAACCATAAAGCAGGTGCAGACGTCTCAATTTTTTTGTTCCGTTCTAGCTGCAGACAGGAATAGTGTTGCATCTGACATTTTATTCGTTGGCTGATTATTCACTCTTGTCATAAAAACCGGGTATTCAGGACATATATGTAATAGTGAGGGATAGACATACTATCACATTAAAAACTAGTCAGTATAGTCCTATATCAACGTATCGATCCATTCCCTCACTGTTAGCTCTTGACTTTGAATGATCATTCTCCTTACACGTTTGGAATTATACGACACATAATGCCCAGTTTCATTCACGTAATTAACTGTTGAATCTTTGATAAATTGAGGTTACGGACACAAGCATGGGGCATAATCAGTTTGTTTCCTATCTGAGACTTAGTTGAAATCCAAGGAGAAACTGACCGTATTTTTGCTATCTCATACACCAGAACACATCTTAAACCTCTTGGATGAACTATTTTAAATTCATCAGTGAACACCAATTCACTCGACAAGTCCCCAAATCAGAACACAGTTGGACAGGAAAAAAACCATATTCTAAATAACAAGGGTAGATGGTAGTAAAAAGCACAATAAGCGAAACGTCGGTGTATTTATAGTTTATACATGGGAAGATTCTAGAGATCTACGGGTAAAATTCGTCAAATAAATAGGCCTTTAGTAGTTGACTGGTTAATGTAATTAGGAAACATTTATTTGTATTATCCAACTGAATTTAGGTAATGTTCGAAAGAAAGAACTATAGTGTGTGTAGGAGCATCATTCTGTTGTGAGAAGTGAAAATATACCCCCATTTCAGGATGGCATCGGTTAGGGAAACACTAGACAACTGTTTCATCCAGGTTTTGGAAAGAACACGGTATTATTCAGTCAGAGAGTAAGAATCAACATTATATGGTGACCTTGATATATTTCTGACATCAAGTGAAGCTTGCGGACCAATTAAATAACTGTTTCGGAATTGGAATGAATCTATAAAATCCTGTTTTCTCAATAATGCTGGTTGGATACATGCTTCAATATCGTTATTCCAGTGGGTTTGTGGTCGTTCAAAAGCTTAGAGATCTGCGTAATTTATTTTCACGTAAGCCTCCACAATGTTTTGGCTGCACTTAGTAACATGGCACATACTAGTTGTGCATGATTATAGAGGTGGAGGATTCTTGAAAATGCTTCAACACTAATGCTAATCAAGCAGGTCAAAGACGCAGAATTAAAAATTCACTTTAGTTTTGGCACTCTATTGCCCTCACTATTTCTACCTCCTTGCTAGTTAGACTTAGTGTTAGCTTCTCTACTTCTGCACAGCATGACAAAAAGTTCTAAGCCAAATACCTGTTGGGTATATACAAGCTATGCGGTGTTCTAAAAAGCTCCATGTCGTTATGTTCTGCTATATTGAGTTCGGATATAATCAGTACTTGTGACATTATGACGAACATATTCGCCAAAAAATACATAAATGTAATGGGGTAAGTAAAAATGTTTCCCGTGAAAAGGCATGTTCCTTCTGTATTGGAGATTGGAAATTTATCATTATCTTATTCTTCACACCGTGTACATGAAAGATGAAAAGAGTATGCCGAGCATTTTCCCTTATTCCGGTGAACAAGTCAGCACGCATGAGAAATATTTCGAATTGATAGAGCAATATGGTAACAAATAAGTTGCCATATGAACATTAAAAAATGGTTAGAATAGGAACTTAAATTTTATTTTATGTACAAGATTGTTACAAATATTTATCATTATTAATTAAATCGGGCTACATTTTGATAGGCCCACAACCTTTCCCACGACGTGTTCTTACACAAGCTGATAAATTTAGTCTGGCTTTACGTCTGTTTTGACACTTGAATGATTCATCAGCAATATCTGTCGAGGCATTCGAAACTAAGCCACTACATTTGGAATGGAGGAAATTGTGCAGTTTAACAGCAGATTCACTGGAAATTAACAATTTAAACAAATAGATCAAGTTGGAATTGGACACTACATGTATAAACTATTAATAAAACAGAAAATACTACGAAAATAATGTTGATTGTCAGCTCAAAATAAATTAAATGAACATGATTAAAACAAAGCATAATTGGGACAATTACAAACATTCCCACCAAGTTGCACTGAGGAAGTCAATCACAATGTAATAATTTTACGTAAACTAATTCTGCCACAAGTGAAAATTAAAGGTTATTTAACATGATATGACCGACTGAATTCTGATACGATGATCATTATGTATTTCCATTGATAGTATACGAATCGACAATAAACATAACTGCTGCTACCCGCAGAACCATATATCTCAATGAGTATATTTCTACCTCACTGACCAAGGTACCTGAAATGTTGATTCCCACCTTAGGCTCTCCCTATCATAATACAACGATATTTAGTCAGTCTAACAGAAAATCTTAGAATGCATCACAGGATATCACTCGTTTGGTTTTGAAGATACCAACATCTACGATAAAATTCAGTCATACATGGGGTAATCCATTTAGAATAGGACTCAAATCTGATTTGTAGAAGAAACCAATTTGTTGAACAATAGAAACGAGTTTCTTGACGTCCGACATCAACCGCTTAGAGCAGAGCCTAGATAGAAAATACTCCATGCATCTGCGGAAGTTTTAAATATGCAGATGATTAGCTTAGTCTTAAATTTGTGAATATCTCTTAATATTCATCACATTCACCTGGCAGCTCTGCAGTTAAAATTTGACATCTTAAGTGGTTAACCCTGGAAATTTGTTATAGTTGAACATTAACGCTATCGTTACGCTGAGAAATGTAGTTTGTTATTAGTTGCAATCACAAGGTTGAAATTTTCAGAAAAGTTCTTATTAGTTGTGACTGAATGCCTGACTATTAAAATTCTTAATTGGTGGTCTTGTAACTTCACGATAGTTGCTGATTCTCATAAGTCAATACTGAATATAAGGAAGAATTAGGTAAAATATCTTTAAAGAATGTACACATAAGTGATGGGTGGTTATCATAAAGTAGAGTGATCGAAAACTATGAAGCTGAGGTGATAGCAGAAGAAAACCTTTACGAATCATGAAATATTGTAACAACTAATTTAACCGTATTATTCTGTACTGTACAGTTGGAAATTGGCAATTTATTCAGTGACATACAGATCCTGAAGTAGCTCATAGTACTGGAATTCGCGTGACAGCGGATATATTGCCAGTGCATTTTCAAGAATCATTACATTTTAGCTCGGTGAAGTTACTATCACGCTCATCTTTAAAGATAACCATAACATACATATGTCTATTGATGCGATACACAGTGGAGAATAGTTTGTTAGGATAATATTTGTTACTAATTTCCCACATAAAATAGTAGATATTGTGAAACTCTGATGACTTAAATAATATCCGACAACACTTTAAGATGACAAAGACCACTGTTTAAGCTAGCTCTACCTTGTTCTGTACGGACATCAGAACTTTAAAAACACATTAGTTCTGCTGAATGTACCTTGTATAGCTTTGTCTTTTTCTGATTATTTCCACCACATTTTTGTATCTTCGTTAATTTTAAATCCTCATAATGTTATATACTAGTTGAGATGTATTTTGATGACGATCATACACCACTTTTGAGAACAAAAAGGATTTGAAATTAATTATAACGGAACAAATAGTGTAAGAATTGGGACTGGTTTATTATATTACTGTGCATTCCTATTCCATTTACTATAAGCTTTCAGTTAATACATTAATTACTCATTTACGACTTAATATTCTTAAATTTGTTGCCAATTTATTACTTACAGTCTCCCCTATTCATAGTCACTTTTGTATAGCTACTATTTCTTTATTTTATGGTGTGATGCGGTGTGGTATGTTTGTATCTAAACCATATCTGTTTAAAATACATATATAGTGGAGGCTGGCTACTACTTTTGGTCTCAAAGTGGGACTGTCGGCCCAAAATCAATAGCGCTAGTCGGGCATGTGATTGGTCAGTTCGAAGGCACTAGGATATTGAGTTAATAGTACACACTAGACCGAATTGGGATTAGGATTCTGATTGGCGACTTAACACATGGCATTACTCAGAGAGCCACGTGAGATAACGAAATTGAAGCAATGAATGAGTCTTCGTATGTTAGAAGTATTTTAAAAAAGCAGAATGTCAAAAACAGTAAACGGCCATACCTGCTATCCAAAATTTCTGCTAACCTTTCCATACTGCAGTTAACCAAATCGTATAAAGAAGAAACATGACTCATTATGCGCCGGTAGTTTTTCCATGATACACCTGGTAATTTTAATAGCATGTCAACAGCCTCAACATTATGATCCTCTAAATGATCACCATCCTGAAAGAGTAAAGCATTCATTCGAACAGAGAAATAAGAAGCCATGACAAAAAACAAGATATTTTGAGTAAGTTATTTTATGAACCGATTGATGTTAAACCATTGAAAACTTGGAAGCACTGGACGGCGGTTTCGTCCTATTGTGGGACTCCTCAGCAGTGTGCATCCACGATCTCGCCCGCGGGATTCGAACCCAGGGCCTCCAGTCTCGCGCGCGGACGCTTGAACTCTAGACCACTGAGCCGGCATCCAACGGTTCTAGTTCTAATGATGGGTCGTGACCAGTGGAGTTAATCCTAGTCGGATAGAGACAAGTATCTACCAACCTATCTATCTACAGTGGAAGATGGTCGCGCAATTTCATGGATTGGTTGAGGTTAGACATTAACACCGTTGGATGCCGGCTCAATGGTCTAGATGTCAAGCGTTCGCGCGCGATACTAAAGGCCCTGAGTTCGACCCCCACGAGTGGGATCGTGGATGCGCACTGCTGAGAAGTCCAACATTAGAACGAAACGGCCATCTAGTGCTTCCAGGTTTTCAATAGTGGCCTAACATCAATCGGTTCACGATCTCCATCAAAAACTTAATGACCTCCAAAACCCTGAAATGACGTTATGTTACGTCATTCAAAGCTTGTAAAACGTCAACATTCAGTTTTGTCCCTAGTTTATTTCACGGACCATAAGTTTTCGTTTGATGTATGATTCACTGCCATAGCCTTTTCTGTTCCAAAGCTATTGTAATTTAAACGTAATCTTTTGTACTCTTTTTTCTACCCTAATCCTCAGTTTTGGACGTAATCGTACTTTTCTAAATGTTTGTGCGTTGTGGTCATGTTAGTCATCTATTCATGTATCTTTTTGCACTAACCTAAATCGGAATCGATGATAAATCGAATAATGTCCCAGTTGACTCGTCTTCTCGCTTGTGCGCAATTGTCGACCAATCAGGTGGTAGAACATTTTTCGTCTCTCCACCCAAGGCTGTTAGTCTCACTTCGAACTCACGCGATTCTAGCCTCAATGTTGAGCCAGTCAGCTTATCATGTCAAAAACTTAATCTAGATTTAAACAACTTGTCTCCTATATATTAGTGGGTAAACTGATCAAGGAGTTAACAAACATAGACGCGATAAAAACATACTAGACACTAATAATTGCTACAAAAAACAATGTTTATCCTTATGGATCTAAATCTTCAAAGTACGTTAAAAGCATCAGTAACTCTGGAAAAAAGCTCATACCTGAGGAAGTTTTTCAACACTTGGTTCTGGTCGACCAAGTTTGATCTCCGCAAACAATTCTGCAGTACAATAGGGAGTCATGCTCCAAAATATTCGTAGATTAGGAAAGTGGATAGTGAGCAAAACAAGTTTAGATAAAAGATGATGGGAATTAAACTCTGAACTAGGGTTAATTGCATGTCGCCCAGTGTACAAGGTAAAACCAACTGCTTCACTTCCATGAAATCCTCTTGTACTCCCATGATTTAAACTAGAAACTATGTTAGAACGGAAAAGGAATATAAAAAGTGATTGTTTGTTGATAAAAATAAGAGAATAATATAGGTTCAACCAAGTACTTTACTTACAGGGAACAGATTGCAAGTTGCATATTTTTATGACGGTTAACGACACAAACGAGTTCGTCATCTCGAAGTAAGTGGTGGATCTGAATTTCTTAGACTAAACAATTTGAAATTATCATCATACATAGTAGTATCTAAGACGCGTTGTGGTTTATTATATTATACAACCAGGTTATATATTGCAAACAAGATTCATGTCAGTCAGTCAGCTACAACGTAGGACCAGGCGCATATGTGCATCGGTCCAGGTTGCCATACCTCATTAGCACAGCAAGATGAACAGCGGATTCATGGGAGTGGTTAGGTCAAAGGTTGCAATAAGGATATAGTATAGGAAGAAAGAATTAGTTCGTAGACAGAAAGAATGAAGTGATTTTAGTCTCTTAATTTAAGGGAAGACAGGGAGTGTATACACCGACGCCATTGTGATCGATTCTGAGCCATGTCACCAAGAGTCTCCAACCATTGGTTACAAAAGTCACGCGGATCCCAACCAAGTAGTCTGCATCTACCAACATGGCTCAGACTAGAAGTTAGTGACTTCAGGCACTGATGCCACGTTTTGGTTTGGCCGCCCCTAACTTTCTTCCAACCATCCCCTACCCCGGTTAGCATTGCACGTCGTGGTAATCGGTGTTCAGGCATACGTAACACGTGGCCCAACCATCTCAGTCGATGAAGATTCATAACCTCATCAACTGATTTACCATCATTCCCTAATACCCTGCGTCTAACCTCACCATTACTTACCCGGTGATCCCAGCAGATGCCAGCAATATTTCTAAGGCATCTGTGGTCAAATACTAGTAACTTACGGGTGTCTTCTACTCTTAAGGGCCATGTTTCGCTGCCGTAAATTAAAACAGAACGAACTGCCGCGCAGTATACTCGTCCTTTTATTGATAGACGGATATCTCGCCTTCGCTAAAGGTGACGCAAGTTGGCAAAAGCCAAGCGAGCTTTTCGAATCCGTGCTGAGATTTCGTCAGACACCAACCCATTAGGGCTGATCAGACTTCCAAGATAAGTGAAGTCAACGCGTTCAACTACTTCACTCCCTATCCTTAGTTCAGATGTTGACGGAGACCAGTCCTGAAGCAACAACTTGCATTTAGAGGGAGAGAAGCGCATCCCAAACATTCTGGCATTGTTGCTTAGTGCTACCAGAAGACTCTGCATTTTGTCAGCGTCTTCACCAAACAGGACTATGTCATCTGCGTATTCTAAGTCGATAAGTGGACCTCCTGGAAGGAGATCAATACCCGAGAATTCAGTCGACGAGAGTGTTATTTCCATCAATAGGTCTATGATGAAGTTAAACAGAAATGGAGAAAGTGGACAGCCTTGACGGACACCACTTGAGGTTGCAAAAGTAGATGACAGTTCGCCATAAGCCCTGACTCGACTAGTAGTGTTCGAGTAAAGAGCCTTCACAAGGTTTATGTACTTCTGAGGTACGCCTTTCAATGACAGACACTGCCACAGAGTCTCGCGGTCTACCGAGTCAAATGCTGCTTTTAAGTCAAGAAATACCACCATCGTCGGACGCCGATAGGTATGCCTGTGTTCTAGAATCTGACGAATGGTGAATATGTGGTCGATGCAGCCACGACCAGGTCTAAAGCCAGCTTGGTTCTCTCGAGTTTGTAGTTCACGAGTCTTAGTTAGGCGTTTGATAATTATCGAGGCCAGTATTTTAGATACTATGTTTGTTAAACTAATCCCTCTGTGGTTGTCACAGGATGATTTTGACCCTTTCTTATATATTGGGACGATAAGTGATTGCGACCAGTCAGATGGGATAAAGTCTAATTCCCAAATCTTAGCTAAAATATTAGTCAACTTAATCGCTAAAATTGGACCACCATCCTTAAAGACCTCTGGAGCCAATCCATCTGGACCAGCTGCCCTTCCTCGTTTCAGATTAACTATAGCCTTTTGAACTTCAGCAAGAGTCGGGGGACCTAATTCAATGTTCCATTCACACTGTCTGGGAATGGAGGGTAGTTGTAGAATAGCTGAAGGCCAGCTGAACTGTTCTGCCTATCGTTCTAAACGTCTGGACTGGGAGCAGATGAGGGTGTCGTCTTTTTCCGAAATAGTCTGACTTACACTTGAATTATTAATTCCAGTTTCTTTTATTAGTCTGTAAAGCTGTCTTGTATTCCCTATAGTCGCCGCCTTTTCCATCTCTTTTGCTTTCGATGCCCACCACTGCTCACGGTCGTTTCTTAGACTTTTTCTTAACCTAGATCTGATTTGTTTTCGCTCTTCATCATGTTCAGAACCTGATGGGACGAGCTTGCGAGAATCCATCAGTGTGACAGACCTTGAAGAAGAAGATTCATGTACAGAAGTTTAAGAAGTTGGATAGTTCTTACCAGATGCCATACAATTTACATATATTCAAAAACATATACAGGAATAACTAGGAGTTAAAATGCTCAGTTTTAGGAGCATGTTTGGAAATAGAAAAAGATTTTTACCAATGAAATTCCCAAACATTGGAAAGATCTAGGATATCGAATAGACAGCTCTCAATTACTCAGAATAATCTGTAACTGTAAAACACTGATTCTGTTGATGTTTTCAGAAGTGGAGTTGGAGCTCCCGACTAAACTTTAGTCTTTGTAACCAGGTGATACAACAGGTTCTCATATGGTAAGCGTGATACATAATCTAATCAGTAACCACGTACTCAGTTATTCTGCTGCTTTATTATTAAAATAGTTATGAACAAATGATGATTACCTTTATTATGTATAGAAAATTCAATTAGGAGAACTGGACTTGCATAATGACGTGACATTGCAGTAGCTTGATGATATAGTCGTCCAGAGTTAAGAGAACCAATGAGATCACTAACAGATTTTCTTTCAACACACAAATGCGGAGCAAGAATATAATCTGCAATACTTAAAGTCATAGGTTCTACCTATATATATATAAGCAAACAAATAGGATTAATTAATTTCATTCAAAAAGAACAAATTATGTATGAACAGAAATTACAGTTAAATCAATGAATATGAGTGTCGAAACTGATACTTCATGATAGTTCTAGTTTAATGGTGAACAATCATCTCATAGAAAACATTTCTTGAAAATAAACAATTCGACTGCATTTTTTAAACAATGAAAAATTCCGTAACAGGATAATAATGTCCTGTTAACAGCAAAGATTATGAGAAAATCATAAGGCACTTTCAAAATTATTTTCAACGACTGGTTAAAAGTTTAACGAAAGCTCAATTCTTATGTATTATAAAACACATCACAAAGTTTGTCTACAAAATAATTTTCTGAGTCCATGTAATTTAAGTATTTTTGATGTCTCCTTACTTTTCATAGATAATAGGCTCAGACGGAAAATCCATACAAAGAATTCTTCTATATCTTAGAAATTTGGTACTTAGAGGTTATGTGTATATCGTTATCGTTTTATGTTATATGATCTTTCACTGTGACTGACAAATTATGTGAAAATGATCGTATATAACGGAGTGAAACTGTTAACTCATTTCAAACAATTCTGGAGTTTCTGATTTTATTAATGAATAGTCAGTTTCTTCGTCAATAAAATTCTAACACTTTCAGTGAATATTTCATACTGATTTACATATATAAACCCCTTCTACGTCAATCAGAAGTTAACAACTCTGAATTCGTAAATATTTAGCTGTAAGCTTACATATATGAACACTTGATTTCTGAATACTCCAGTATTCAGTGATGACGATTGGCTAATGTGATCTACTAAGAACTTCAGCTAGTGATGGTGACTTTTATAACATTAGAACATTTACTATCACAGACACAAACTTAGTAAGCAACACGAGTTAATCACCCAAATGCTGAGCTGTAAGTATTTTTCATCAATTTACATCCTGTTTAAGTAAAAGAACTATCCAATATTATTAACAGAACTATACGTACAAATAAAGTGTGAAAGTAGGTTTCTTACTTTTAATCCTTTTCTGTGTAAAAGTGCTGGTAGCTCACTACGAAATTCACGCATATCTACAATTACACGAGACACTGCTTGATTATCACCTGCGTGTAATTTTCCATATGGTATTGTTGTATCTTTTGGTATAACAAGAGTGCTACTTAGCTGAATAAGAGATTCAAATGCTTCTTTTTCCTTTGGAAGAGAAAACAGATTATACATACAGTTTACTTTCCTGTTGTTCAATAAATCAGGTAACGATTTTGATGCACATAAAAGAGGTCTGAAATAAGCTATTAATGACTATAGAATAGAATACTAAAGGCAGTCGACCATAATAAATTGACCTTCGAGTAACAAAAATTCGACTAACAACATCCAAGAAAACAGCCAAGCTGAACACATTGTAGTAACAACACTTTAACGAATATTACTCGAAGTTCGAAAATAAGATGTTTAAATTGAAATAACAGAATATTTCTGGTGTTTGCCCACTTGAAATGAGGCGGAACTGCATTAAATAGACAACCTAGTGGATAGGTGAGAATAGGAAAAAAGTGAAAGACCACCTTGAACGCTACAGTTCCAACATTAAGATGCGTCTGAAACCTAAGTGTGGACGTGACAGCAGCGCTCAAAATTTATGTCTGCTATAACAGGCCGTGGGGAAAAGTACGGATAAAAATATATGTATGACAGCGGGTGAGATAATGCAGTTAGTCAAATTAACAGATAATAGAAGTGACACCTTCAGACATTTCAACACGTACTTTTCGGCTAGAGGGATACATGCTATAGAATACATTAAGGGAAATTGTTTCGGAAGTGTTAGAAAAACTAGTTAATTTTACTAGTGATCTTGTCCTTTTTTGAACTGATCTACTTTACCATAATATTTTCTCATCTATAATATTTACATAACCATTTGTGACTATGTTAATTATTTTTGTCGAGGTATTACAAAATTTGTAATGAAGACATCCCCATTAATTACCGTGAACAGTAAATCAAAGTTCTCTTAGTTTGAGGTTTTCGACCATATTCATGTTCAATGTTATTTCTCAGGTCACCCACACATTTTTTATACGAAAAGAACGTAGGGAATCTTAAATTTACGTGTTAATCTCTGTAGCTTCACAACTAGTTATGCTACACAGTCGAGTCCGTAAAAAGAATTGTTTGGTGTTACATGTTTTTACCTAAAATGAAACCACACCGTATATTTAAAAAGTCCACTCTGAAGAGTAATTACTGATATTTTGCACAACTAAGTTATAAAAATGATAAATGTCTGAGAAAAATAAATGAGCTGAAAATCAACGTACTTTACGTAAACTTGTTAAATATCGTTGTTCTTCAACGGAATTTTCATACAGTACAAAATATATTTTTAATGAAGGTAAAGAATTATTAAGCTCTCTGATGTTACTTGAAGAGTCACTTTTTGAGAAATGTTGAATTAGAAGACGTGCATTGTACACTTCTAATTCTCTGACCCATGATAATTTGGGCTCATATAATATCACATAATTAGGTTGAAGTACATCTAAAATATATGATAATCGATAACCATATTGTTGTACAAATAAATCGGACTCATCTTGGTGATCTTTTGCTGACCCATAAAACTGACTATTTTCATCACCTGAAAATGTTGGTGTTACACGTATAATAATTTTAAGTGAATTAGACATCTTTATATTGGATGAAATTGATAAACTAGGATGAATGCTAACTTCATGACATCCTAAAGGCAAACGATTATTATTGTTAGTGATTTTTTCAGTATTATCCATTTTACAATTTTCCTCTGATGAGGATGAAGTGTCATCATTATCTCCACACAATTCATCAAATTTATATTTTTTGCAAATTTGTGTTAGAGTAGTTACGGATGATTCTCCAGAAGATTTCGGATTCATTAATTTGGCAGACTATTTTTCGTTTTTTTTACAAAGAAAAACAAAAAGAGAAATTTAGCGCACAAGAAAGTTAGAATGATAATTTGGAGGGAAATAAAACTACCACAAAACAAAATATATATGTTGGCCAAATAAATATATATTTCGTTGAAATCATGAACCGATCAATGGTGGTCCACCATGATTTCAGCGGAACTCAACAATCTCCACAATTCTATATTGAAAATTAACGTTTGATCGTGAAATTCACCAATTCAAGCCCGAACTCTGAATGAGAAAACGATGCGTTCAACCTCTTATACTTCCTTGTTCGTAACTCTCTTCTGCAGTATGTTTTGGTCTTGTTTTGTTTTTATTATTGCTTTGTAATTTCAAACTGTAATCAGTCATTATCATCCTTTAACAAACTTTTCATGATTATTGTCCTATTATTATTACGACCTTTATGTTTTTCATTCTTCATCATATCTGTCAAATGAACAATTATCGTTCATAATTCTGACCTGGAAATTATGTTCATTCTCCTATTTTCCTCTAACCCACTGATTATTATGCAATCTCACTTGATACTTGAAATCTCGAATCACTTTACGATGAGATCTTTTCTATCTTTTTAGTGACATATTCACCGAACAACTACAAATGTACAGCTTAAGTAACTGATTTCGTCGAATTATCCCTGGTTCCTCTTTATTTTTATTCAACAACAAAATCATTTAACTGAGATGCAAACGTCAATTATATACATAATTTTATTTCATACTGTATATATTACCTTCTGTAGTATTTTATGCGACTGTAACTCAGGTAAATCTGAAGTTTGAATAAGAAACTTCTTAATAGATTGTATTCCACGTTGTAAATAACGTTCAAGATACCTTGCTGTATTTTCACGACTGACAAGAATTAATATGGTATTACTTAATGTTTGATCAGTTGTGTTGGTATAGATTTCTTTTAGTAGTTCAACAAGTGCTTTCCATTTAGGACTAATCTCAACATTTAATAATTCTATAAAAGTATAAGTCGAAAAAATAAAAATTACAAAACAATAAATCCTATGATAATTTTTTTTGATAAAAAAAACAAGTGATTATTTTACTTACTTTGAGTGAACTACGAATTAATAGCCCCTATATGGATGAACTATTGAAAAGTTATGGGGAAACTAGAGCTTTTTGGTTGAAATATCATAGCCGTTAAAATAATTTAGAATCAATTAATTGTGATATCAGCAACTACTATCAGTTTAAGATACTTAGATGATAATTACTTATGAAGAGAGAAAACTAGAAATTCGGAAACAAACGGGGAGGTTACAAAAAACCACGTTTTAAAATATCAACAAGATATTAACCCTTTTATCCCATAGGTTTTCTGGATCGAATCAAATGGTAACACTTCATTTTAATACATTTCAAAGTGTAATCACATTTGAATCATGTTATATTGCTGAAGCTAACGTGCACTTATATGGTCTGGACTGAATAAGTAAGTTGAGACTATATTTGCAGTTATTAAATAATATATACCTTCAAGTACAAAGGACTTTAATAGCAGACTTACCAAATCAAATTATAGAGTTTCCTGAAGTATTTAAAGACGACTTGTGCTAATGAACAAAAATCCAAACTACTTAACGGTACCTGTGTTTCATTCGAAGCAGCTATTACCTTATCTGCTACTTCCTGTAGCCAATCAAAATACTAAACTCACATAATCTGCTTGGATGCGGTAGCAAAAAAGTAATCATTTTTATTTGTTTATTTAAAATACATAAATACTAGTACAAATGGGTACCAGAATGAGACCCATATGGATAAGAAAATGAAATTATCGTCAACATCCGAACAGACTGCGGAACCTTAGAGAACTAATTCAGTAGAGACCAAGTAAGTTTACCTTCACAACAATAATATAACATAATTTAGAGATTGTTTCCGATTGATATGTAGCATCACAATTTAGTAATATCTTGAGGTGCGATACCCCATTGCACTTTCATAACCTGACGCGTTTCGTGGAATGTTGCTCAGCTTACGTATTTTCACAGTTCGGTCGACACGACCATGATATATGTAATGTCTATTTGATAGTAAGTAATATATCCACCAGCTGCTAGCGATAAATTTATACCCCTAGCGGATCCTTGAATTAGTGTCACGCTTGGATTGGGGGGGGGGAGTTCTTCGCCTCACAGTAAATTTGGTTATGTTGCAACGTTATTCAAAGTAATCATTTCTGTGTCCGATTTCGCTGCATTATTGATTGCAATGTTGTTTTTGAAATAACAAAAGTGGTAAAAATGCTATCCACTGCAATATTGACATGTTAATGGAGGCTGTTTTGTGTTGTTGGTTCGGGAGGACTGGCTAGGTGAATGATTTGAAGCTAAAACTATATGTACTGAATTGAGTTTTCCCGGGTGCTGAAAGATTTCCTCGTCACTTTTAAAGTTTATAAGTCGTTGACATCAGTAACTGTACGGTGTTATTTGGGAGTCCTGTTCAATCTTACTCAATAGATGCATGTCAATATCCGCATCTTTAGGGTATTGGAGTTCACGGATAAAATTAGGCACTTGGATTGGTCATCCATAAAAGATAGTAATTTAAAGTACTCACTTTATAGATTAGCAATGCCTTCATACGTAACGAAGTCATTAGTTTTTCGCTTTGTATTTTATGGATTGATATCATGTCATAAATAGGGAACACTGGTCTCAAACATTTGGAATAATGTCTTTGAAATTACGACCACGTAGTTGATATGGTAATATGAAATGAGTACCTTCCTGTTAAGTGATACCCAGTTTGCATGGAAATAGCGACGATTTTCGTGTGGCACCTTGATGAGCAAACTCAAAGTAGAACAAATTTCCATAATGCTTGGATCAAGAATCAAAAACAGCATCAGCAGTAAGATCATAGAGAACTTCGTTATATTACAGGGAATTCATCTCGCTGATGATGAGTTTCAGGATGTAGTAGGAAGGATTTAATGTTGTTGTACGTAATCACTACGTTACAGCTTCATTAGTTTCATGTACTATTAAAAAGCCAACTTCACATCTAGATAAGTTGTCACTGCGTCATAAATACCTATCGCGGATGCTATGACTCGGTTACTAGCTACGTGGATCAAAATATCAACATAGTAATGAACCCAACGTAAATACTTCTTGAAGTACACTTCAACCAAACTCGTACTAAGCCTCTGAATGACTCTTGATCAAGTTCCAAACGATTTACAGCATGAAAGAAAAACAAAAGGTTTGTTCACCGATGATGACGGGAAAATTAGTTGGGATTAATAGAATTTTTTATTATGTGTTTAGAATCAGCACCTGATGTAAACGTACGCGAGCGGTTTGAGAATTTAATCATTGTTACTGATATGACATCAATTTATTGGTCGTTTGTGAGTGAATTTTCAGGAAACGATCCATCTCCTAACAATGACTCGTGAACGGAATGGTATCTAGGCTCAATATGGAAGAATTCACTGTGGTGCATTTTAAGGATACAATATTTTCACGCGTCCACAAACATAAATTTTACTTCGGAAACCAAACATCCACAAGAAGTATTTGATGACAAACTGACCAAATATATGATGAATTTTGCGTTGTAGATATGATCCAACGAACAGAATATCTTTTAGGATACTGCAAATAAAAAGACGATTGAGTTTTTAACACTTAATCAAACGGTCGGATTACATACTGTTGGCTTCCATTGGTTTGTTAATAAAATACACTGTTAGTTATGTCATAATATTTAATCACTTATATCTATTATTTATTTTACCTTATACGTTGCTGAATAAGTGACAACGAAATTCTCAACGAATTCACTGTTTTCTATCGAATTTGTTATTCTCGCTTAACAGAAATGAAATTATGGCATTTCAATGAGATAAATAAAGGTCATTGAGCCATGAAAAGGAATTTAAAACACCAACTAATAAAGATCAATTTAGATAATATATAAACTCCTGGAATTTCCCATTACGATTTCGCACTTTAAACACTGAAAATTTAACTGAATATTTATTGACGAATATCTCAGCTCACTGATATTACTCCGCAAACTCTATCAGCCAGGATTACTGAAAAGATTTTTGACACACAACTATGTAACCATACTATCAAGCTAACTGTGAACAAGTTATTTCGAAATTAAATAATTACGAATTGTTTTAATCCCTGAAAACTTAGATGAATATGAAAATGAATAGTTGACAAAGCATAAAATGCTGTCAACGAAAGTACTTACAGTAGTTTAAAAAAATGTAGGAACATACTTTTGCTGTAATCAGCATATACACGAGACCTTGCAGACGCCAAAAGACGATCAGCTTGATCCATCAAAAACCAACTAGGACAACCTCTTGAAGCAGCCCTTTTTGAATTTATTTCACTCTTTTGAGTTACGCCTAAACTTGCTAAAGCGGCTTGACGTAAACCTTCCATATTGGTTAAAAAGTTGACAGCATCTCCTTCAATCAATAAGTGGAGTAAACGCCTCAAGCTTGAAATATCTCCGACAAGACGTCGACTGACTGAACTGAGCTGATTCCATACAGGGTCAACGTATAACGAGACCTTATTTAATTGGATGAAAGATAGAAATGTGAGTAGTTGATATTTCGTTCGAAAAAAAGAATTTTTAATCACAGAAATACATGTTGAAAATGGAGCTGTGACAATTAAACGACAAGGCTTCGTGAGCTTATATTACAGGAAATGACATTTACTAACTGATCAACTTTCGCCTCTCAGCATTACTGGACTCATGACACAAAGGCTCTCTCGTGGAACAGATATATGTAATCTTACACACTGTGGTAGAATTGCAAGCTTCTGGCTTTACTTTCGTGTTTCTCATTTATTTGCCCACTGTCTGGCTTCAGCTGATCTAGTGGTAATCGGCTTCAATCTTATTACCACTATGAAAAAGTCGGCTTGACTGTTAACGTGTCAATTTTAAAAGGTGGGTAAATAACCTTAGTCGAATAAAGAGAACTTGTGTCTTTATACTATTGTTAGATCAAGATTAGTTATTAAAATAATTTAGCTATACATGACAATGAGTAAAGACGCACTAACAGACAAAGTCGCAAAAAAACATTACGAAACAATGCACGGCAGTAGATGCATGACCACACAAAAAAGTGATATTACATTGCCCAGAGGTCGACCTACTGGCAATATTCCACAACAATATTCCACCCATATCAATTTAACAGTCAGGAAGTCCTCAGTTCTTTATCACTTTGAGAACACATTACTCTTATTTTAATATTTTATTAAAAGTATGAATATAGTATAAAAATGAAACTGGTCTGCGGCATTCTAGTCGCGAGACACTTAAGTCAGGTGAAACCACTTATTACTGGTTGGGTTTAAATGCTCTAACTCGATATTTCCCAAGTACACTAGCGATTTCACGGATACATGAATTATCATCACGTCATTACCACCTCAGGTCTTAAACCCAATTCATCTCAAAAATATATGGTATACACCATTCTCGATATATTTCCTATACCCAACAAATTTCTAGTAAGGTTCATCTAGACATTTTTACATCCATAATGAGATAAAATTAGTGGTTTACAATTTAGACATAACGTAATTAACGTGTTATATAAGATTCTCAATTCACCAGCCCACTTAATTTTTTGGTCAGATATTCGAAAAGTATCTACTAGTCCTCTAGAGTCACTTTTGGTTTTAAAAATGGTAATTTATTTGAAATATCCACGAAATGTTGACTGCAGACTTTTAAAGACTACTTTAAGATAAGTTGAAAGGTATGAACAACTTACAAGACTGTCGAAATTCGGTAACAGAGCTTTTTCTAAGGTAAGATCGTCCGTATTTAATGTTGGATTTTGATCGCATAATTCTTTCAATGAGGCCTTCATAAGGTCAAGTATACACGACTGACAAATAATCATTTCTGAAGTCAACTTTACCTGATAAAACAAAGATTACGTAAGATAATTAACTAGTAAATTTCTAAAGATGTTGAAATAAGTATAAATACAAGATCAATCAAATTTAGGATCTTCTGAGTGTAAGTTTATCAACGACCAAACCACAAAGATAAGATCGAGATGCACAAATGTATTCATCCTACAAATATAATCGCTAGTGGGTATGTGTTTTCATTCCAAAATGTAATAGCAATAGTTATAGTATAAAAAATCTTACGCGAACTTCTTCCACATCAGGTTGGCTTTCATTTAGACAAGAAACAACCTGCATATTGAATCTTGGCCAAAGAACAAGCTTTGAAATACCCAGCTGCAACATAATCCTTTCTGCATGATTGTAACCAGAAGTCAAAGACAATGAATTATCACTGAAAGCCTTGATAAACAACTGCGGATTGCGTTCTCTGAGAAGCTGAATAGCGAAACTATCTTGACAAGCCTCGTGTAGCTCATGTGCTCGAAGAATTAAGACACCGGTAACCAAAGTGGCAGGCATTCTTTCCATCAGTAAGTCCACAACTAATATGCGAGAACTGACAAATACCACACCACCTCGCTTGTAAATTGCCTCACGTTCCTTATTATTTACCTCGGCAGTAATTATTCCAGGAGAGTGGATTATTCCATTCTTTTCCAGTATACCTGTTAGAAAACGAGCTTCTGGGAGACGATAGTTCGAAACAAGCACTAAGTTGTGAGGATCTGAATGTAACCTTAGTGTGTTATAAATAATTGTATCCATTCCCAGCCCATCAGCAAGCACCAGCAATGAGCTTTCGTGGTGAATGTCGACAAGAATAGAAGCCTCGTACTCAAGCAGTTCATACATTTATGACTAAAATAAAATAAAAATAGGTTATTGGAACAAGAAGAATAATTTACGAAAGTTTTACTATATATATATATATATATATATATATATATATATATATATATATAACTCCGCCTGGAGTCCCTCCGGGGGCTACTGCCGGTCCCAAGCCCGGATAAAGGAGGAGGGTTGGGCATGGGGTTAGCGTCCCCATCCCGTAGAAAACTAACTCGCTAAAATAACGCTAACCAGAAAAAATTATTCAAACCTTTTAAACTCTGCCCTGGGAGTCAGAAGATCTTCATTTAGAAGAATTATGACGCCTCATGATGAAAGCCGAATCCCTTCGGAAGTTACGAGGCCGATGCCCCTTCTGACAACCAGAGCGACCATTTATTTAGGTACATGGAATGATCGTACAATGTGGGACACCGGAAGAGCCTTCCAGATTGCTGCAGAAATGAGAAGATACAACCTAGAGGTACTTGGGATCAGTGAAACACATTGGACACAAGTTGGACAACAACGACTAAATACAGGAGAGCTCCTGTTATACTCCGGCCATGAAGAAGAAAATGCACTACATACACAAGGAGTTGCATTGATGCTGTCCAAACAAGTGCAAAATGCGCTTATAGGAAGGGAATCTCATGGACCAAGGATCATCAACGCCTCCTTCAAAACAAAGAAAGAGGGCATTTCAATGAACATCATCCAATGCTATGCGCCTACCAACGACTACAATGAAGACGCTAAAGATCAATTCTACAATAGGCTGCAGTCAATAGTCGAGAAGTGCCCAACAAAGGACCTGACCATTCTGATGGGAGATTTCAACGCCAAGGTTGGAACGGACAACACTGGATATGAAGACATCATGGGACGACACGGACTGGGAGAAAGAAACGAAAATGGTGAGAGGTTTGCAAATCTATGTGCCTTCAATAAGTTGGTCATAGGCGGCACCATATTCCCACATAAACGCATACACAAAACCACATGGACTTCACCGGATCAATCTACACAAAACCAAATCGACCATATTTGCATTAACAAAACGTTCAGGAGGACTATAGAGGACGTGAGAACCAAGAGAGGAGCTGATATAGCATCAGATCATCACTTACTGGTCGCCAAGATGAAATTGAAACTCAAGAACCACTGGACAATGGGGCGGACAATATCACAAAAGTTCAATACGGCATTTCTTCAGGATACTAACAAACTCAACAAATTCAAGATAGTCCTCAGCAACAAGTTCCAGGCCTTTCATGATCTACTCAATGGAGAAGGTACTACTGTGGAGAGCAACTGGAAGGGGATCAAAGAGGCAATCACTTCAACATGTCATGAGGTCCCGGGTCACAAAAAGCACCATCACAAGGAATGGATCACTGTTGATACACTGGATAAGATTCAAGAAAGAAGGAACAAGAAGGCAGCAATCAATACCAGCCGAACAAGAGCAGAAAAAGCCAAGGCACAAGCTGAATAAACAGAAGTAAACAAACAAGTGAAGAGGAGCATCAGAACTGACAAACGTAAATATGTGGAAGATTTAGCAACGACGGCGGAAAAGGCTGCAAGAGAAGGAAACATGAGACAACTGTATGACACGACAAAGAAACTCACTGGAAATCGCCGCAAACCAGAACGACCAGTGAAAAGCAAGGAAGGCAAGGTAATCACCAACATTGAAGAGCAACAAAACAGGTGGGTAGAACACTTCAAAGAACTGTTGAATCGACCAGCTCCACTGAACCCACCCAACATCGAAGCAGCACCCACGGACCTCCCAAGGAATGTTGGCCCACCAACAATTGAAGAAATCAGCATGGCCATCAGACAAATCAAGAGTGGCAAAGCAGCAAGACCGGACAACATCCCAGCAGAGGCACTAAAAGCAGACGTAGCGGTAACTGCAAGGATACTCCACATTCTCTTCAATAAGATTTGGGATGAGGAACAAGTACCAAAAGACTGGAAAGGACTCCTGGTCAAAATACCGAAGAAAGGCGATCTCAGCAAGTGTGATAACTACAGAGGCATCACTCTTCTCTCAATACCGGGAAAAGTCTTCAACAGAGTATTGTTAAACAGGATGAAGGACTGCGTAAACGCCCGACTTCGAGACCAACAGGCAGAATTCCGTAAGGATAGATCGTGTACAGACCAAATCGCAACTCTACGGATCATTGTGGGACAATCAATTGAATGGAATTCATCACTCTACATCAACTTCATTGACTACGAAAAGGCATTTGATAGCATGGACAGAACAACATTATGGAAACTTCTTCGACACTACAGCGTGCCTCAGAAGATAATCAATATCATACAGAACTCATATGATGGATTACACTGCAAAATCGTGCATGGGGGACAGTTGACAAAGTCGTTCGAAGTGAAGACCGGTGTTAGGCAAGGTTGCTTACTCTCACCTTTTCTCTTTCTCCTGGTGATCGACTGGATCATGAAGACGTCAACATCTGAAGGGAAGCACGGGATACAATGGACATCTAGGATGCAGTTGGATGATCTGGCATTTCTATCCCAAAAGCAACAACAAATGCAGGAGAAGACGAACAGTGTGGCAGCAGCCTCAGCAGCAGTAGGTCTCAATATACACAAAGGGAAAAGCAGGATTCTCCAATACAACACAGCATGCACCAATCCAATCACAATTGACGGAGAAGATTTGGAAGATGTAAAAACCTTTACGTATTTGGGCAGCATCATTGATGAACAGGGTGGATCTGATGCAGATGTGAAGGCGCGGATCGGCAAAGCAAGAGCAGCATATTTACAACTGAGGAACATCTGGAACTCAAAGCAACTGTCAACCAACACCAAGGTCAGGATTTTCAATACAAACGTCAAGACGGTTCTACTTTATGGGGCAGAAACCTGGAGAACTACGAAAGCCATCATCCAGAAAATACAGGTGTTTATTAACAATTGTCTACGCAAAATACTTCAGATCCATTGGCCGGACACTATTAGCAACAACATACTGTGGGAGAGAACAAATCAGATCCCAGCGGAGGAAGAAATCAGGAAGAAGCGCTGGAAGTGGATAGGACACACATTGAGGAAAGCACCCAACTGCGTCACAAGACAAGCCCTCACATGGAATCCTGAAGGCCAAAGGAAAAGAGGAAGACCAAAGAACACATTACGCCGAGAAATGGAGATAGACATGAGAAAAATGAACAAGAATTGGATGGAACTAGAAAAGAAGGCCCAGGATAGAGTGGGTTGGAGAAGGCTGGTCAGCGGCCTATGCTCCATTGGGAGTAACAGGCGTAAGTAAGTAAGTTAGTAAATATATATATATATATATATATATATATATATATATATATATATATATAAACCAGTGTGTAACCCTAATTAGTTCTAAATAGCTAGTACAAGTATCAGCATGGGATAGAAACATTAACAAGAAAACCAGAAAAAGAATAGTGAACGTACGAGTATTAACAAACTAAGAGAGAAACGCAGAAAAGAAGGACCTCAGCAAGGAATAAAAGGCAACGAAATGACAAATACTTAATATTCACAGGAAGAAAATTGACTCCATATCAAATATGACATCTAGCCTTGGACTACCTAACACGATTTTCTGGAAAAATGTACTTAGACAGCGGCTTCACTTATTACTTGGACTAACATACATTTCTCACAGAATGATTTTTTTACGCTGATCTGGTTATTTTTATTTGTTCTTCAAATCTAACCATCACAGTTCAGAGTAGACGAGTGACCCGAGATATGAATTATTTAACCGAGTAACGTAAGGAGGTACAAACATTCAGGGTTCGGCCCATAGGGTAGTAGTAACAAATAGTTGAAGACCCAAAATGACGTGCTTTGAAATCAACTGGAGGAGTGCAAATCCTCTTACTTCTTATTTGCCTCAGAAGCAGAAAGATTTTAATACTCGTTATTTAATTTCAATTTACGGCCTACATTCTCTTCACCTTCTTAAAATTGGTTTCACTTTGCAAACTTTTTCTGTGGCAGAAAAGTAAAATTAGAAAGAACTCTTTCAGTTACAGTCACCTTTTATGAAGCAAAAAAGGTTACAGCAGGATCGCCACTGGCTTCTATTCTGAGCAATATCTGATAACGTCTCTAGCCACTGTGTAGCACCATCTCTAGGACCCCAGTCAGGGAGTCATGAAGAACCAACAGGAGCCAGCCCTTTGTAGCTTTCTTTCATACCACAACACCATGTCATACACTGACCACCTCTCTGCCTTTTTCCAACCAGTCCCAGAGTCGGCAAATAATGCACGACGTGGAATTCTCTGGGACGACATTCGTAGAACATGTCCAAGCCACCAAAGTCGGTGTTTCAAGATGGTGACACCAATTGAATTATCGTCTCTGCACCCGAACACACGATGCCGAACCCCTGCATTACTGACATGGTGTTGACACTGGATGTCAGCAATCCTTCGGAGACAGCGATGATCAAACACAGAGAGTCGTCTAACATCCCCAAATCGGAGAGGCCAGGTTTCACAAGCATAGAGCAAAACTGCTCTCACCGACGCGTTGTAGATCCGACCATTTACAGCTAGACTGACAACACGAAGGCGACAAAGATGGCCCAGATTGGCATTGATCTCATCACCCACGCCACTACCAGCACTTATGCGGCTGCCTAGATACACGAACTCCTCAACTGCTTCTATCTGCTCACCATCCAGGGTGAGTACAGGATTAGAATCCTGCCAGTCTTGTAGAAGTATTTTGCAGTTCGAAGGTGCAAAGCACATACCGTACTTACGGACACTGATTGCCAACTGATTAAGTGCGGATTGCATGGCTTGGGCATTATCGCACAGTAAGACAATATCATCCGCATACTCAAGGTCGAGAAGTCTTTCTCCAGGCAACAGATCCACACCGCCATTACTTACATCCATCAGAGCTGTTTTCAGAATGTCGTCGATGGCAAAGTTGATGAGGAATGGTGAGATTGGGCAACCCTGCCTAACCCCACTGCTTGAATGGGACAATGGAGAGAGGTGGTTGTGTGCCCTTACTCTGCCTGAGGTGTTTGTATGTAGGGCCTTTAAGATGTTAATAAACTTCTCAGACACATCCTTCTTCAATAGACAATCCTAGAGAGTAGTCCTGTCCAACGAATCGAAGGCAGCCCTGATGTCAAGAAACACTACGATTGTTGGCCTTTGATAAGTATGACGGTGCTCTAACATTTGGTGGAGGGTGAAGATGTGATCAATACATCCTCGACCAGAACGAAAACCAGCCTACTCCTCGCGAGTCAATAATTCTCGGGTTTTGAACAACCTACGAGGTATGACAGAAGCTAATAGTTTGGACGCAATCGGAAGTAGACTTATACCACGATAGTCATTACGTAACATCCTTCGTTTGTGGTCAAACTCACGGTCACCAGGAGAAGACCGATGGGCTTTGATGAATTATAAAAGCGTGAAGAAACCCAGTGCTTACAAGCGGGAAGTTTCGCGAAGCCGTAAGCGGCTTTACTAACCATTTTCATAGCGTCATGAAGTTGCAACCAATGATCATCTATACTTTTTGGTGGGATGGTAGCTAGCCTAGAAGCTAGCTCGATTCGATACTTACTTGCAACAGAAGTTGCGACCAACTTGCCGACATTAATCCATTTAGGACGATGAATTCGTTGGCCACTGAAAAGTAAGATTGGCGCAAACAAGGACATGATCACAGCTCATATAAGTACTCCAAAAGGAGCGACAGTCTTGTGCACAACCACGCCAGCGGTAGCTGATCGCGATGTGATCAATCCGAATCCAGGCTTGAGATACAGAGGGAAGACGCCAGGTGGCACGTCAGTGATGGCTGCGCCGGAAGTTAATGCTAACCAGAAACAGGTTACGGTCTGTGCACAGTTGCAGTAGACGGCCCCGTTATCTGTCCTGTGACCAACAAGTCCCCGTCGGCCACCTAAACGAATCTCTTCTGTGCCTAGACGCCCGATCTGAGCATTTAATTCTCCGGCTGGTAATACAATATTTGTAGGACGCACTTTCTGGCGAAGAACAGTTAACTGGAGGTAAAACTCATCCTTGATCACATCTGGGCTGCAATCTGTCGGAGCATATGTGGAGATGACGAAAATACGTCGTCTCTCACGCAGATTTCTCACCTTAATGTAACTTTCTAATCTAACAGCACATAACTGACTGTTAGCGGGAATCCAATCGATTAGTGCTGCCTCAGCTCTAGCGCTTAGTGCGACACCAACGCCAGCAAAACTGGACGAAGATGCCACAGGGTCCACGGATAGACGCACATAAAACGAGCCTTTTGAAGCGACAGATGGAGAGCGAATTTGTAGTACTTCACCAGCCTTGAATAGAGGGCTCGGATAGACAGCAGACGCTGATATTAAGACTTTCTGAAGACCCCTGTGTCCACCGATGCGGTTAAGATGTCGAACATTCACCATTCATCCTCTCAATTTCGTAAAAAAAACCCGCCGCTAAACAGACAGTGAGTAGGACTTCCCTGGCAGAGACTATATACGCGTGGCCATGTGAGAGTATTTCGAGAGGGAGAGCCGACTCATTCCATTCTCGGCCGTATGAAGACATTTGGGGACTTTTCCTTATAGTCCTATTTTTAAACCGTTTATGAACAAAAATCGATATTTTTATTGAGTTCCAATTCATGAATTCCGAACGTTTATTCAGTTTCTGTGTGGCCGACACTTACCTCCTCACACCAGTTAGCCCTCGTGAAGCATAGGTCTCTGAATACAGCCAAAACTAGGTACCGTTATTTAAGTTGAGTGACTAAGTGATAGTCGCACACGACTTTTTGTCACCTCTTTATTGCCAAATATTAGATATACTATGACGTGAAGTGGAAGTCATAACTTAAATATTAAATTTTGGAGACTGAAAAATCCAACCGAATTCTTATGGTTCACAAAATGTTGAAAATCTGAAATTTTCAAATGCATTTGTAAATGTTTGCGGAATAAAAAATAGTAAAAGTTAAAAAGAAAATATGTGCAGCATATGAGCTTATCTGCAACTTCGGCTCCAAAGTTTGTTACTATATCACATGCTTAGTCCCATAAAATTGCTGACCACAGAAATTTTAATACAAAATTATAGCTAGTTTACAAAACAACAAACAACTGAATCTCTTATCATCCATTAAAAGCTTCCAATTTTTTTTACCGGGCCTGCGCACAAATCGTATACGTAAGCAGCAACGTAAACCAAACTTTATCATTCTAAAAATACCACACCCGATGTTAACTCAAACTATTCAATATCTTTGTGGCGAGCTAGTATATACGAGTTGATGTCAGAGAGCTTGCGTATTCTTGTTAGCTAGCGATTCCGGATGTTTTGGTCGTATTCAGTGAGGCTTCTCGCGGATGCAGTAGCCCTAGTGATAGTTAGTTTGATTTATTCATTTTTCCCATGTTCTTTTCAATGGACTATAGGACTGTTAGAACTTAGAATATTATATTAACAGTAGTTTAGCTAATCTCAGTCAGAATAACGGGATATGAAGAATGTCTGATTAGGTGTGAATGAAAAGTGAGGCAGGATTGAAATGATAATTAAGGCAAATACGTAAGTGGGGAGATATGAAGAAATATCAACACATGTAACATTGGGTGGGGGGAGGCTGGTCACTCCAACTTTATCCTACTCTGTGATTTCACTAGTCATCCCACCTGGCTGAGGGAGGTTCGTGTGCTTTTGTATGCTCATCTAATACTTGCTTGCAACGGTCCATCGAAAAGGCTATAGGTACGATGGTTATGAGGGCGTTTCATGTAGAACAGATACATGATGCATAAACTGAGGTGTTACTTTGGTATTTTCCTATTAGTGGACAACCCTGTGAGGATTTTCAAGTGCGTCACTATGATGACGCTCTGGTAAGATTACCTTGCTGCAATGGTCGGAGCAGGTTGTGATGTCACCCTTCTGTCTTCTGTAGGTTAGTGATTTTATTTATTTAGATACACAAATATTGGCAAAACTGAGCACCAAAGTAAATCGCTCACAGACAACAGTCCTAACTCTCTCATCGAATTCCCACATAATAGGGGCCCTGGAATTACAACCCCTTTGATCGTGTAACTCTGTACTATTTCTTAATCTCGAACTATCAATCAAAGTCAAGTTGCGAGAACCTTCTGCATGCATTAGGATGTATTTTAGTAAAATGGAATTTGGTTACCTACCGAAATATGACAACGCAGGTTGTGCGTAACTCGGTCAGATAGCTAAAATCGTCTTAGAAGTAAATCCCTTGATGAGATGAAAATATTCAGCTATTCGTGTCTACCCTGGAGGTACTATCAGTACTGGAAAACGTGCAGAGAATAGTGGAAATTTGGAAGGATAAGGAACAAGAGATGTGAGCCAAAAATTCAGTAAGCCCGTACATAGGATGCAGTCAGTTTTCAGGAGTAAGGGTAAGAGGTCAAGTGACCCATGTTAACCATTGAGATTTATAGTACTGTGAAGATACAATATCTCTTCGAATGTATCAACAAGCTCTGATACTACGTTTTCTGTCAGAGAATTCCAGTAATTAACAACTCCAGATTTAAACGACTTGATCTTGGTTTGGAACTATCTGAGAATACCTTTTCAGACTACCTGAAAAGAAAGATAGAACATATTAGTACAAAAACCAATGTTTAGTACATTGTAATACGTCACCCCACGATCTACTGTCGGATAACAGAAATGGGTTGAAGCGTCCCAGCCTATTGATAAGACAAGTCAGGAAGACTGAAATTTTGGTTCCTCGTCGTTAAACCCGTCGCAGAATATCCGTTTCATATTTGGAACAACGATTCGTTGACTGAATTCGGTATTTCAAACGAGGTCTCACATACGTCGGGCAGAATATCCTAGATGTATTTTTCTCCAAGTTATGACAGGCTTTACGGATTACCTACAAAATAAGGAAACTTTTGGCAGCGCCCATCATAGTTACCCATGATTCTGGGCTCATTAATTGCTGTGGCTTTTAAAATAGTATTATTGATGTTAGTTGAAAGCACTTCATCTATTATCTACTTGCATAATTCGTCACAACGATCTATTTACCATACCATGAGCATGCTAGAATTTACTGCTAACAAACACGTCTCCAGCCTTCACATATTCTTACAATAACAAGGTGCTGTTTACTCTCACACGTTGCCTCCTATCACTAAGAAATTCATCAGTCTGATCTTGATGTATAATCCATTACGAAGCCTTCCCACTTTGCTCAAAGACCCAAATGAGAGATCTAATCAAAGTTTTTACTGAGGTTCATAAAAATTACATCTACCGGAATATTTTCGCCTTTTGCTAAAGCCAAATCTAATTTCGGAATCAGATTAGCCAAACATGAAAGATGTGTTCAAATATAATAAACAAATAACATGAAAGACGTGATCTAAGAGCCTGTCGTCCTTTAGACAGAAAAACATTCCTTCCTCATGACGTAGAACACCAGCCCAAATAATATTTTTCATTTATTTTACCAAAACAATAGTAAAGTTAACCTAGTGGTAGTTATTGTTAGGAATAAAACAAACATACAAACTAGGAGTGAGTAATATTTTTCAGTCAAGTCAATTTATTTATTTACTATGAAAATCATACTACATGTTAGATTATTGACTAACTTTAGTTACTTTCGTCCAAATTTATTCACTGACCGAAGATTTAAAATGATATGTAACTCTCATTGTGAATGTATTAATTAGTAACTGCTGAATAAAGCATCCTTCTGTAGTCTTATTTTCTTTCTTGTTACCATACCAGTCTTGTTTATTTCAATAAGTAGCGAGTGGTAGTTTGTAGTCACACTAAACAGTCTCCAGACTACTCGTTCTGACACACCCGTTTTCCTCTTGATTCTATCTTCCAGTTACACCGGCGTATTGCTATTATCTTTCTCCTGAGAACAAGTTAACTTGAGATTTTGTTACTCAAACCCTAGGAATCTTAATAAGTATACGTGGCGGGGAATCAGTACTACCATAGGCTCTCTTGCTTAAACTTATTAGTTCTTGACATGAGTACCTGATGAATAAGTCGGGAATATGAGACAGACAAACAGCTCAACTTAATATGAAGCATATGAAAGTCTGGATTCAGGATCCGAGTCACTCGACCCCTCCAAGCTCCACGCAATAGTATCAGGAACAATTTGACCTTTCCTTCTTTGCCTCTTCTATGATTTCTATTCACCATCAACTGTACCTTTCATGATATGACTTTTTAATTCACTAATATATCTAGATTCTCTGTCGAAGTGACTCGAGATATAACTTTCACATAAGATTAGCTTGCTGTTCTATAAGAGTTCGTTCTTTATCGAAGACTCTCGGTTTTGTAGCGCTTATCGTAGTTTTACTAATGACGATAAAATAATCTTTGTTATCTACACTAGAATTTCTAACCAGAGCCTCCTGGATCAGTAATGTTTTACACGAATAGAAAAACAAACAGCTACAAGCACTGGTTACATGCAGTATAAGAGCGGACTTGTGAGTCTTTAAACTACCTTGTCAGATTCTATCAAGCTATTCAGAAGGCAGTAAGTGTAAATGAATAGCTTAGCATCTCCGTTATAGAACTTAAGATATGGATAGAGATCGGAACTAAGAATTAGAACTTATGTATACATAAATGATGTAACCAAAATTCGGCGAAACTATAACTTATGGATGACCTTTGAGCGACATTAAAGCAGCCTTGAGGGTGTCCATTTACTTGTTAGGGCTAAATGGGAGCTATAAACCTATGTGAAGAATAAGGATTATGATTTACAGTTGGTTAGGGTTATGAATTAGATTTAAGATTTTCATCACGAACTGACATCAGCTAAAATCCCAAAGCGCTGTTTAATCAAATGGATGAATGAATGTCCCGCCAAGATCCAAGACATGTCACCTTATATCTTATTGGTTCGTCCATAAATTATAGTCTCTTTATAGTGTAGCGGTAAATAAATCCCCAAAATAAATAGCTCTGTAAGTTTTCGACATTGGATGCTGACCATATGTTTTAGTGGACTCATCTAGCTGAAGGCGCTCGGTCAGGCATCCGCACCAGATCACGTGTGGTAACGCCGTGCTCGACATCAACCGCAATCGCTAGCCAGATTAGATCAGAGAATTCCGATATATTGGTCATCGCCAAATATACTCTTCCGATCTCCTCGACTCTGTCTTTTGATTTCTCTGGGTGGGAACGAAATACATTAGGTGTTACTGGTAGAAGCGTTGTCAAACACTGAATACCTGTGACATCATCAATAGAATTCAGGGTTACAGTTAAGATTATGGTTTAGGATTTCCAGTTAACCTATATGTAATTTGACGCATAGTCCTAAGCCTTAACTTAAACTCTATGTATTAAACCATCTATCTTAATTCGAAATAATATCTACAGCCTTATATGTTAACAACAAAGCCAAAAACAGAAGTCCGGACAATCCACTGTTTTCAATAAGGGCTAGCATGTTTCCTCAGTGAAACCAATCATAATAAAGTCAATGTGCAACAATTCCTTGGTGAAATTATCTAATTCATCATCAATATGTATATTTCGTGACCCTGGAGTTACCTTGTAACGGGATTAAAAACATCATGTATGATGTTGTTAACGGATTTCGTTTTCTTTCTATTACAGGGCAAGCGAGAATAAATGCTTTAGAAGAAGAAGAGCAAGCCCTGCATGTACTAAACTTACAGGACGACTTATAAGACCGCTTTGTAAACTAGCTCTCCTTTCTGTACAGAACCCGCGAATTTTAATTTTCAAATAAACGACTATGTGTCTCCATTCCATAATCTCTCTGTGGTGTGAAGTGTTCAGTTAACATTGTGTGTGTTGTGGATTTAGGTCTTCCCGCTTTCCAGTGACTGCCGATTACACGTGTTACAACCTGAACGTTCAGATTTGACTCTGCTATATAATTCAACCCTAAATGTTTCAAATGGTTGTGGACGGAATAGAAGAAACTTTCGCTTAACAGGCTTCCGTGTCTAGTAGCAGGGGATCACCAAATCCTCCAGGCAGGAACCTAGGTATGCGAACAATAAAAGAGGAAAAGAAATTAGTAAATCATAGGGTGATACTATCCTTAGTCCTTAAGAATAGATCAAGTTGCCTCTTAAAGGACTCCTGGGAAGTCGCTTGGACTAGCTCGGCCGGCAGCGAATTCCAGCATTTGACAACTCTTAGGGAATAGAAGTTGTGTCCACAGTCCGTTCTGCTATGTTGTGTCTCCAGTTTCTGGGTGTTACCTCTTAGGTTAGTGTTGGAACTAAGCTTAAGTAGGTGTTTGAGAGGATGTCCAGAAGTGTTAAGGATACTGTAAGCCATCAGGAGGTCATCTCTAAGACGTCTATACTCTAATGGATAAAGTTCTAGTGAATGGAGGCGCTCTTCGTAAGGTTTAAATTTGAGTCCTCGAACTGATTTCGTGGCTCGCCGTTGGATACGCTCCAGGGTGTCCTTATCCTTTTGAAATGAGGGGAGAAATACTATGTTTCCGTACTCTAAATGGGGACGGATAAAACTATTGAAGATTATATTAAAAGTTCTTCCGTCAAACTGACCAGAATGCGCTGCAGTGTTATCAATGCAAGGCATTTTTGTCACAGTTAGCGTAAGACTTTGAATCGTAGGGCACCAGGACTCCTAGATCTTTTGCGACTCGGGATATTACTAAAGAGGAGTTTCTCAAGTTATAACTGTAGTCTGCAACATGTCGCAGATGGACTACTTTACACTTTGAAGTGTTAAATGTGGGTTCATTATAGTCTGCCTAACTTTGAAGACGAGTCAGATCCTCCTGAAGTGCCTGTATATCGTCTTGGTTGCATATCCCTCTCCAACGTTTCACATCATCAGCAAAATGTAATACGTCTGACGACACTGTTGTGGAAGGTCATTTATATAAAACAAGAAGAGAAGAGGTCCTAGCACTGAGCCCTGGGGGACTCCACTAGGACATTCAATAGCCTGAGAGAAAGTGAAGTTAACCCTGGCCTTAAAATGTCGATTTTTCAAATATGAAGTGAGCCAATCGATTAGAGGTGGTCTGATACCCACTCGTTTGAGCTTATTGATAAGACATGTTTGATTAACCTTATCAAAAGCTTTTGAGAAATCTAGGTAGATGATATCAACCTTCCCCTTGTGATCAAGGATGCTTGTCCATATGTCCACCCTTCCTGTAACCGTGCTGTAGGGGTTAGAAGTTTATGAATGATAAATAGTCGTGTATATCGCTACATATCGGGGACTTGATGATTTTTGAAGGTATGGAGAGAAGAACCATCGGTTGGTAGCTTGGAGGTTTACTTCGTCGAACTCCTTTGAAAATTGGTATGATGCTAGCCAGCTTCCGAATTTCAGGTCATGAGCCTCGGCTTAGCGAGTGAGGGAACGTCACGCTAAGCGGTATTGCCGTGATTGAAGCTACTTTCCTCAGTGTAGCAGAATGAACAGTATCCGGACCAGGAAGAGTTCCCTGTATAGGAACTGCAGTTTCCGGAACACCAAGTCAGCGCTCAGGTTCACTCGGGAAAGTCCTGTGCAGTTACAGATTAAGCTTTCATCAGTATAGTTGATGTGGGTCGTTTGAAATGTTCGAGAGTACTGTTGAGTCAGAAGATTATCGGCATCACCATCGTTGTTCTTCGGGCCATTACGACCCAGCATCTGACAAACTCTAGTTTTGGCTTGTCTTAGAGAAGCTGGATAACGTAATAAGCTTTTCGGATTGGAGACACCTATCGATAAGCTTCATCTGGTACTGAAGTCTGTCTTCTCTTGTTGTGCATATGTCCCGTTGTAACCAGTTCGTTTACATTTCGCTCAACAGTGCCTTTTGCGGCTTATCAAATGAAGAGTGCGGTTCTTGATGATTGTAGGTTGCTTGTAGCTTTTGAGGACAGTTTGAGGAACTGACTTCCTTGTAGCACATAGGAGTGTGTTCAGTAAGTAACCCTATTGTCGGAACAATATTTCCCCTTTTGCACTCGAGTCTCGTTATTTGATTTTCGCGGCATATGTGAGTTGCGTTATTGTTCCTGATATATTCACCGATCTTGATTTGTGTGCTGTTGCTTTTAATCTCTTCTGTTTCCAAATAAACATCGACAACACGTGTTACATGTGACGATGAAGGCGTCAGCAGGAACCCATGACAAATGTGTGACGAACTGTGGTTCGAAAAAGATTAGGATGTTAGGTGAGGCAAAAAGACGGAGTATCGAGTCCAGATAACGACTAAGTTCTTGCTGATGTTGCTAGCCCGTGAGCATCTAAGTCAATTAGGGGCTATGTTTGCTAGTGCTTGATGCTTTAACAAGTTTATTTCACTGTAGCATGTGAATGCTACTATATCTTTTAAATGAACCATCATGGCTATTAATAAATATAGATTACCAGATAATAATATTGACTGAGCTAGTACGCTATGACTTCCAATCGATAATACGTCACGATAATAAACGTGAGCATTATTCAAGGAACACAGGTAAAAATCGATCGAAAAAGTTAAAGTGAAACTGAGAATTAATATACAGCTGAGTTTCTATATTCTGGCTAACCAATGTAGAATCACGGTCTAGATTCGTCTTTCGTGCCTCTAGACAAGTCTTGTTCTATTGATAGAAGAAACCAGACACAGTAAATGACGCTTTAGTTTTTTTCGAAAAAATAAATACGTACATATATAAGCAAGCATATCAGCAACGAAAAATTTTGTTTATTTTCCGAATTAAACAGTAAGTATATTTAAAGGCATATTAAAAATTGTTTGATTTGCTTTATTGACACAATACAAAAATATCGAGACAAAACGGTGTTATGTAGTGTATTGCATGCGGTAATTGTCTGTGTGTTCGAGAAACCTTACTCTTCCGCCAGGACGCATCGTTTGGAGTCGGTTGTCACATACCACCTAAGTGTCATCGTGATTGTGGATTATCAGGTGAGGTATCGTAATTTCGGGGCTCTTGTCTTTCGATTGTGTCGAAGAAGAATCGACATGATTGGGGTTTCCCTCCAAATACACGGCTTTGAGGAAATCGATACTGATTCCGTCGTTAGTTTTCTTCCTATCGATTATATAGTACTTGGGTTTACGCTGAGAAACTTTAAAGGGTCCTTCGTATGTCGTTTTGAGGAGTCGTTGCAGTGAGTTGTGACGTACAAAGACGTGTGTACCCTATCGTATGGCAGGTTGAGAGAAAATATCAGTTGACTGTGGTCTAGTGGAAACATGTTTGACTGAACGCATGATGCTTGTAAGCCATCTCGCTTAAGAAATTAGAGTCATATTCATTGAATAAGGTGAAGGATCCACGAATTCTACTAGAGGTCAAAGTGTCGTTCCATAAACGAGTTGAGCTACCGTGTATCCAATGTCAAGTTTCGTTGCATTGTAAACACCAAGTACAACAAATGGTAGAGTGTCGGTCCACTGCGAGCCTCCAACTATTCAGTAGATAAGTATTGTGAAATCATGTGTTACATGCAGCACAATACATTTCCTCCTTGACGGACAAGAAGTAGTTTGATTACCTAATATTGGTAATTACAACCGACGTTTCGAAAAGTAGACATATAAACAATAAGGCTACAAAATCTACCAGATAGTCATTAAGAAGAACACTAATAATAATGCACACAATATTTTTAGTTCTAGGAATAACACATAGTTGAACTGATTATAAAGTGAGTCATACTTTTGAAATGAACAGATTTGGGTTGGAGTGCCGTAGTGAACATCAACTCTGGGATACAAGTACATCCAGCTGACGAGCCGAAAATAGAACAAGGCGCGCGTCCTGGTTTCCACCGCAATCCAACATCGATTCTTGATTACTACTGCGTCTTTCTGTAACTTATTTTTCTAGCTGTAGATTGCCC